ACATGTTAAATTAACTCTTGGGGGAAATGTATACATATATCAAATTATCACATTGTACACTTTAAATATTGTTAATTATACCTCAATAAAACTGGAAAAAAAATAGAAGAAGAATTAGTTCATCTTGGAGGAATAGGTGATTCCAGGACTAGGGTAGAGATAGAAGAATGAGTCTGCTGGAATGAATGTCTTAATTAGCCAGAAGTGAGTAAATGTTCAAAGAATGTTGGGACCAGTCATTTATACCCAAAAGAGCTTGAAGGGGCATTCACACAGTCAAAGTTGGGAACAACTTGAGCATCAAATAATTCTGATCATATACATTTGAATAAAGGATAAACCATGTGTCCATACTGCATAAATAGATTAATTAATGAGTGGATAGTTTGATGTTAATGAGCATATTTAGCTGTCTTTCCCCTCACCCACACATATTTATTGACTACAAAGGCAAAAGGTAACAGTAGTGACTAGGCCTGTCAGACACCAACTTAATCAAGTGATCACAGTAAACATTACAAGAAGTGAGTCAAAACCTCCCCTTTGTTGATGGGTTACAATGAGAACGATAATAATGTCGCTTCTTTTATACTCCTAAGAGTAATAATTTAAATTTAATCACAAGGAGACAAGAAAACCATACTGAAGGGCAGTATACAAAACTATTGGTGAGTTAGTCTTCAAAGTTGTCAGAGTCATTCACAGAAGCCAAGGAAGTGCTGATGAATTGCTGTAACTTGCAGGAGACTAAGAGACAATGAGGTTAAATGCAACTTGTGATACTAATGTAGGTGTGAAGTATGTTATTGGAACAGTGTGCAAAACTTGAATGAGGTCTGAGTATTAGATGACCAATAATGATTTTGATAGAATATTCATTGAAACCATGCTTTTTGAGTTTAATAATTGTTAAATACCTTTTCATAACATTTTTTGTGTTGAAATAACATGAAATTTGCCATTTTAACATTTTATGTACAATTTTATGTGCAATTCAGTGGCATTAAGTAGATTTACATTGTTGTGCAGCTGTCACCACTGTTCATATCCAGAAGTTTATCTTATCAACCCAAAACTCCATACTCATTAAACAATAAATCTTCATTTCCCCCTCTTTCAGTCCCAGACAACCACGATTCTACTTCCTGTCTCTATGAGTTTGACTACTCTAGGTACCTCATGTAAGCAGAATCATACAATATTTGTCTTTTTGTATTTGGTGTATTTCACGTAGCATAATGTTATGATTTTATAACGGGAAGTCAAGTAGCCCAGAAGTACAGTACAATATTAACCTCAGCAGCTTCTGCATTGTTTTCTAGAACTGTTGTCAACTTCAGGGCATGGAAAACTTACTTCTGTAAGTCTAACTGTAAATTGCCAGTATAACTCAGAAGACGTATGTAGTCCAAAAATGATGTAATATCTCTATCTCTTTTCGTTTACACACTTCCAGATCTTTGATTGTGGCATCTAATTAATTTTAAAATGACATTTTAAGTTAAATCACAGCACATTGTTACTGTAGATCTTTTATCCACAGACCGTGTGCTATTTGTAATACTTTTATCTTATTGATAATGAAGGTCAATTTTCTAGCAAGAACTTTAGCAACTAAAACACTCTAAACCTATGTGCCATGTTTTGAATATAGTAATTATACTTTATTATTTTATCCTTAAAAGAGTTCTGGTGTAAAGGGAAGTGTTTTGACCGGAAAACCAAGGTAATTTTTGTACACCTACAGACTTGTAAAATCAGAAGAGACTCTAGAAGTTGACTTGTCGGATCTGTATCTAGTTTAATTCATGAAATCTTTACTGAGCATAGTACACATTGAGTAGAAAGTGATGTGAAGTTGCTTCTTTTCTGGGTTCATTTAGTAAGGGTTATCCAGGCTATTTTAGTGGGAAGCATTTAGTGGGAAAATGTTAGAACAGTTTATTCTGGGGGATTGGGCTTGGGTGTGGTAAAACTTTTTTTAAAATTTTTTGTAGTTTGTGTTGTCATGAAGTCAGATGCAAACTCCTGCTTGGTTTTTATCCCTGCTCCTCCTTCACTGTAGTATACATTGAATAATGACTTTGATCTCTTATTACGTCTCAGTTCTTATGTTCTTTTCTAGTTAGGCAAGCTACTGTGTGTTGTATAGGATAGTTACAGAGGCCTTAGGCATGAGATTCACCAAACAGCTGAGACTTAAAAATAGCTACTAGGAACTACTTTAACACTTAACTATTAACAAGGACTATGTCCAAAAACATGTGTTGGGGAGGAGAGGATTTAAATGTGTGTAGAGAATAGAGAGAAGCATGTAGGTCTAAATTCTGTGCCTAGGGATTTTGTTCCCACTCTATTTATATGCATCTATTTTTACTTCTGAGTTCCAATAAGTTATCACTTGGAAAAATTTTGGCTCCCTGAGGGGAAAAAAAGGAGTCATTTTATCTGTCCTCCATGCCTTTAATATGCTTGGAATACTTTGTGATGATAAATATTTGTCAGCTCTTTTCTTAGACTTCTGTGAAATCGTTCATCTAATTTTTACATGGATAAGATACTCCTAACTGAGTTTATTCTCACTAAATTATAGTTGCTATTTATGTTCCTCTAGACCAGTGTTTCTCAATTGGGGCTTCCCAGGAACATCTGGCAATGTCTGGATCCTTTTCACAATTAGGTTACTACTGGCTATGGTTTTTCCAGTAGTCATGTATGAATGTGAGAAAGCTGAGTGCCGAAGAATTGATGCTTTTGACCTGTGGTGTTGGAGAAGACTCTTGAGAGTCCCTTGGACTGCAAGGAGATCCAACCAGTCCATCCTAAAGGAGATCAGTCCTGGGTGTTCATTGGAAGCACTGATGTTGAAGCTGTAACTCCAATACTTTGGCCCCCTGATGCGAAGAGCTGACTCATTTGAAAAGACTCTGATGCTGGGAAAGATTGAGGGCAGGAGGAGAAGGGGACGACAGAGAATGAGCTGGTTGGATGGCATCACCCACTCAATGGACATGGGTTTGGGTAAACTCTGGTAGTTGGTGATGGACAGGGAGGCCTGGCGTGCTGCGGTTCGTGGGGTCTCAAAGAGTCGGACGTGACTGAGCAACTGGACTGGGCTGGACTGGACTGGACTGGAATGTAGAGGGAAGAGTCAGGGATGCACTCAGCATCATCTGTGCAGAACAGCTCAGGTAGTTTCAGAAGTTAATACTGTTTTATATTGCACTTTTTTGTTTGTATAAAATTGAATTCAGAATATATCATGTTATTAATTTCCCATTAATATTTACTTCTTTCCATATAAATTTTCATGAGTGGCTATTATCTTCTATTTGTGGTTTAAGCCTAAAAATAAATGTTTTAAGAATAAAAGCATATTCCTGGGTAATCATTTTAGGTGCATATGCGAATACTTTGAGAGAAAATAAGTAATGTAGCATTTAAGTATCTGGATTCTGTGCATTTATCACTAAAGTCTGAAATGTATTCATATTTACATGGTAAAGAAGCTTCTTACAGCATCATTACTATTACTTTTACCTTAGTTCTGAATGAAATAATGTAAATCAGAAGTTCAAACTATTATAGTGGTAGCAGCCTTTTATTTTATTTTGAGCATGTATATCTTGTTATTCAGCAAACAAGTATCCAGTGTCTGTTATGAGCCTGGTATTTGGTATTTGGAATCCAACCCTGTTCTTGCTTTCAGAAGAACTCAGACAAATGCTATAATCCCACATAGACAGTATAATAGTGTACATACAAAGAACTGTGTGTATGTATATATATGTTATATATACATCATCGGAGGGACCAATGATGAGAGAGAATTCAGGCTATATCAAGTTCAGGTTAAGAAGAAAGGGGTAGGTTTTACGGTAGAATAATTTGTATAAGTAAAGAGGCATAAAAGAATATGACATTTGTAAGTCACAATGCTTGCTTATGTCTTATAGTGCTTAGGAAATGGGGAGGATTAAAAGATGATTTTCAGGGGGTTCCCAGATGGTTCAGTGGTTCAAGAATCTGCTTGCAATTCAGGAAAAGATGATTTTCAAACAAAGGTAAAACCATGAGTCTCATACAAATAAAAAAGTGAACGTGGGTTAAAGATTTTGTTAAACTCATTCAATGATGTAAACAGACATGAAAAGTTTTAAAACACATTTTTATGGAGTAGTGGAATACTGAAATAAATTATAAATAGGTAAAACTTTTTTCTATAGAGTGAAACAGAATTTCATATTTATCAGTTAGCTACAGTTTCTAGCTGTGTAAAATAACTCCCATAGAATCAATCTGACAATGCATACTCCATTGGAGTACAAAATTTTTTTCTTTGAAAGTGGCAGAAAATTTCAAGCTAAAGACTTAATTTGGAGTTTTGTACTAGTGTGAAAAGTGGAATCACCAGAGGACAAAGAGTGGGAAAGAGAAAGTTACCCTTAGGTCTCTTGTGATCTGTTATTTTCATTGTGAATTTATGGAATTGCATGTCAGTGCCAAATGCATTCCAGACTCATGGGGATGGAGTGTGACTGTTCTCTACTGCTTTGCATTGCTGTATAGTCCAGTGTGAATTGATTCTGCCGTTCAGAAATTGAAAGGAAGACAAGCCTCCTCTTGTGTTCCCATTTGAAACTTTTCTTCACAGTCTCATGGTTAATACACCATTGTCCTTTTATTTATTTTTAAGAGAATATGTTAACCAGTTTTATCCCACTCTTGGCTTGGAGTTAATTTTGAGGTAGAAACCTCTCTCTGTCACGAATACCACCACCATGTAGGAAGGAAGTATAATTTTAGGTTGTTAAATCTGCTTCTTTCCTTTAAAAAACATGTGTAAAGATACATTAATTGTGAATTATAAAATCCATTTAGAGGATACTATGATAATTTAGAGATGCTTTTGAAGCTGACATTTTTCTTTATGTATTTAAGCAGTATTTGAGGTTAAAATTCATAGAAATATTGAAAATGTTAACTTCTTTCATTTGTAGATCATCCCATTATGATGGGTTTTGAGCCACTTGTTAACCAGAGACTACTTCCACCCACCTTCCCTCGATATGCAAAAATAATAAAAAGAGAAGAAATGGTCAACTATTTTTCAAGATTGATAGATAGAATAAAAACTGTCTGTGAGGTGGTCAATTTAACAAATTTACATTGTATCCTGGTAAGTACAAATCAAGTCTCTATTCTGGAATATAGCTTTGATTTAATAGCAGAATAGTTTATTATGTTTTAGAGACTCTTTCAAGGATAAATAATGCTCCTCACCTATTATCTGTCATATCTGGAGAATTAAGTGTTTGTGTATATTATTTTTCTTTCTATATTTAATCCTCATAAGGATTTTATACTACCCATTCTAGAGATTAAGAACCTAAAATGTGGAGGAGTTAGGTAAATCACTCAAGCTTTAAGAATGGCAGTTTGAACCCTCAATTCTGTGCTAAACCTTTCATATAAATAAATGTTTGTTAATGTATACATATATGTGCATATATGTTTTTTCATTAAAAAATTGATAGTAACTTGCTTTTTCATCAGTAATCTCTGTATCTTGAATATGTTTTCATGTCAATAAATAATATACAAATAACAGGTACCAAAATACTAATTAAAACTACTTATAAATAGTGGAAAGCTATATGATAGTTTGTTTTTTGCATTTTTTAATGCATTTTCAGTGTTTTTTGGTATTTTGCATATAGGGCAGAAACAATGATAAGGGGGGAGAATAGTGGTATTAGTGAAGGAAAATTCATATATTAGGAATCCATATGATGATACTTTTGACAGTTATGAAGTAATAAGATATACCTAGTTTAAATGAGGTGAGTAATGGACTGTATAGAATATATCCTGTTAGGAATGTGCACTAGGAATAAGAAATTGAGTACAAACTATGATAGTGAGTATACATACATTCAGTCAGTGTGCTTTTTTTTGTGCTAGGCACTGTCCTATGGCTAATATATACAGTGATGAGCAAAAGTATATCATTCATCTTGTCATGGGGCTGTAATGTGCTATAGAAATTGATCAAATAATCACATAAATGTTTGTAAAATTACAAACCAGTATGAGCAGTATGAAGGAAAGGAACTGGGAACTATAACATAATAGCATATAATGAAGGAATTGGCCTAAATGATCAGAGAAGGCTTTTTTAAAGAAGTGACGGTGAAGCTGAGATCTGACAGGTACATTTCATGCAGGGATAGAATGAGAAAGGACAGAAATGTAAAGACCTGACAGAAGCAGAAAAATTTTTAAAGGTAGCAGGAATACACAGAAGAACTGTATAAAAAATATCTTAATCACCCAGATAGCCACAATGCTGTGGTCACTCACTTACCTGCAGCCTAAAATCCTGGAGTCTGAAGTCAAGTCAGCCATAGGAAGCATTGCCATAAACAAGGCTAGTGGAGGTAATGAAATGAGATGGATGAAACTGGAACCCATTATACAGAGTGAAGTAAGCCAGAAAGATAAAGACAAATACAGTATACTAACACATATATATGGAATTTAGAAAGATGATAACGATAACCCTATATGCAGAACAGAAAAAGAGATACAGATGTACAGAACAGACTTTTGGACTCTGTGGGAGAAGGCCAGGGTGGGATGTTTCGAGAGAACAGCATCGAAATATGTATATTATCTAGGGTGAAACCGATCATCAGCCCAGGTTGGATGCATGAGACAAGTGCTTGGGCCTGGTGCGCTGGGAAGACCCAGAGGGATCGGGTGGAGAGGGAGGTGGGAGGGGCGAATGGATGGGGAACACATGTAAATCCATGGCTGATTCAGGTCAATGTATGACAAGACCCACTGTGGTATTGTAAAGTGATTAGCCTCCAACTAATAAAAAGAAATGGAAAAAAAAAAAAAGAAATTCCAGCTGAGCTATTTCAGATCCTAAAAGATGATGCTGTTAAAGTGCTGCAGTCAGTATACGGACTGGAAAAGGTCTGTTTTCATTCCGATCCCAAAGGACAGTGCCAAAGAATGTACAAACTACCATACAGTTGTGGTCATTTCACACACTAGTATGGTTATGCTCAAAATCCAAGCCAGGCTTCAGCAGTACGTGAACCGAGAACTTCCAGATGTCCAAGCTGGCTTTAGACAAGGCAGAGGAACCAAGGATCAAATTGCCAACGTTCGTAGGATCATAAAGCAAAAGGAAATCCAGAAAAACATCTAATTCTGCTTCACTGACTAAACTAAAGTCTTTGACTGTGTGGATCACAGCAACTATGGAAAATTCTTAGAGATGGGAATACCAGAGCACCTTACCTATCTCCTGAGAAACCTATATGCAGGTCAAGAAGCAGCAGTTAGAACCTTACATGGAACAATGGACTGGTTCCAAATTGGGAAAGGAGTACAAGAAGACTGGATATTGTACTCTGTTCATTTAACTTCTGTGCAGAGTACTTTATGCAAAATTCCAGGCTGGGTGAGTTACAAGCTGGAATCAAGATTGCCAGGAGAAATATCAACAACCTCAGTTATACAGATGATTCCACCCTAATGGCAAAACGTGAGGAGGAACTTAAGAGCCTCTTGATGACGGTGAAAGAGGACAGTGAAAAAACTGCCTTAAAATCCAGCATTCCAGAAACTAAGATCATGGCATCCGGTGCCATCACTTCATGGCAAATAGACGGGGGGAAAGTGGAAGCACTGAGATTTTCTTTTCTTGGGCTCCAAAATCACTGTGAACAGTGACTGAAACCATAAAATTAAAAAACATACACACAAAAAAAACATGCTTTCTCCTTGGAAGGAAAGTTATGTTGAGCCTAGGCAGCATATTACAAAGCAGAGACATCTCTTGGCTGACAAAGGTCCATATAATCGAAGTTAGGGTTTTTCCAGTAGTCATATATGGCTATGAGAGTTGGACCATGAAGAAGGCTGTGCTCTGAAGAATTGATGCCTTCAACTTGTGGTGCTGGGGAAGACTCTTAAAAGTCTCTTAGACTGCAAGGGGATCAAACCAGTCAATCCTAAAGGAGATTAGTCCTGGGTGTTCATTGGAACGACTGATGTTGGAGCCTAAACTCCAATACTTTGGCCACCTCATGCGAAGAGTTGACTCATTGGAAAAGACCCTGATGCTGGGAGGGATTGGGGGCAGGAGGAGAAGGGGACAGAGGATGAGATGGTTGTATGGCATCACCGATTCAATGGACATGAATCTGGGTAAACTCTGGGAGGTAGTGAAGGATAGGGAAACCTGGTGTGCTGCAGTCCAGTGGGTCACAAAGAGTCAGACACAACTTAGTTACTGAATAACAGCAGAGTAAACATAGTGAGATAAATAAGGAAACCATTACCACAGTCCAAGGTAGAAAGGATTGTCACTTGGATTGGAAGGATGGCAGGGAGATGATGAGATTGTCAGTGTTACAGCCATGTGTGAGCTAAAAGGCTTCCCTAATAGCTCAGTTGGTAAAGAATCCTCCTGCAATGCAGGAGACACAGGTTCAGTTCCTGTGTCGGGAAAATCTGCTGGAGAAGGGATAGGCTACCCATTCCACTATTCTTGGGCTTCCCTTGTGGCTCAGCTGATAAGGAATCCACCTGCAGTGCGGGAGACCTGGATTCAGTCCCTGGGTTGGGAAGATCCTCTAGAGAGGGGAAAGGCTACCCACTCCAGTATTCTGGCCTGGAGAATTCCAAGGACCGTGTAGTCCATAGTGAGCTAAAGTTGATAGAATATTGGTTGATGAATTAAATATGGGGCTTAAAAGAGCTCTCAGGAAGTTCTCTAGGCTTCTGCCTTTCTTGTCTACATGCATATTTGGTGCTGTTCACTCAAAGGGGGAAATTCTCTAAGGAACTTGAGAGTCAAATGGGGGTCTTAGGGAAGTAAAGGATGAGGTACATTTAAAATATTTAAGTAGAGATGTTGAACAGATAATGTCCTATGGGTAGAATTTAGAGATCTATGCTTAGAGTTAAAATTTTAGAATTATTACAGTGTAGATAGTAACTGAAGCATGCGTGTTTATGTTCTACTGTTTATGAGGAGAAGAGTATAAAAGAACGTTGTCTGAAACTAAGCTTTGAACCTACAGAACAAACTGAGAAGTACCCAGAGGAAGAAACATGTGAATGTCATTTAAAGATTTTTCAAGAAGGAAGTCATGCTGTTGAATAGTTGAATGAAAGAGAGAAATAAGGTCCAAACTCATTGTTCTTTGAAGTTAGTAATGAGGGACAAGTGGTGCCTAGAGCCAAGAGTCAGATTACATGTGTTGAAGAGTAGAGACAGTGGGTTACAGCCAACTTCTTCAGAAAGTTTGGCTGAGAAGACAGCAGTTGAGAGGAAAATGTGGCATCATACAGTAATCTTTTCTTTTTAAAGATGACAGAAGTGAGTATTTAAATGAAAATGGGAATGATCTGGTAAAGCAGAGGAATTTTCATATCTGGGAGAGCAAAGTATGGATAGTTGACAGTGTGATGATTGTGAAAAAGCCAAAGGAATGGGATCCTTTTATACAGGTGTAGGATATCTGTTGTTAAAGTAGACAACTAAAGGATCTGGGTACAGATGTGTATAGAGTTAGTTTAGAGGCTAAAGTTGGGGAATTTTCTGTGGTATAAATTATTTTAATTTTCCTTGTAATATAAATAGTAGTATCTCTCTCTAGTGGAGAATGTTCACTTTGAGGAGTGTGTGCAAGGTGTAAAAATTAATTGTGAGAAAAGTGAATGAATTCAGTTAGCTTGATTTACTTGGTATTTATTTCTGTGAAGCAGGAAATAAACCTCTGTCTTTAGTTAGTAAATTAGTATTGATACTATTATTTTCATGATATAAAAGTTTAATGTTGGTATCCACATAATATTATTTTTCTTCAGTTTGTTAAAATAATTTTTTTTAGGCTCTAAAATTATCCATTGTTCCATTCTTCTTGTTGTTGTTTAGTTGCTAAGTCATATCCGACTGTTTTGCAGCCACATGGACTGTAGCCCAACCAGGCTTTGTTCATGGGATTTCCCAGACAAGAATATTGGGGTGGGTTGCCATTCTTTCTTCAGTGGGTCTTCCCAATGCAGGGATCAAAATTCCATCTCCTACACTGGCAGGTAGATTCTCAACCACCGGATCAGGACGGCAGTCCCAAGCTGGGCAGCGTTTTGATAACAAAACGAACTCTTCCTTTACCTGACAGACTCCCAGTCTCTCAAGAGCCACAGTACATCATCTTCCTGATACCTTTTGTTGTTGTTTAGTCGCTAAGTCATGTCCAACTCTTTGTGACTCCATGGACTGTAGGTTGCCAGGCTCCTCTGTCCATGGAATTTTCCAGGCCAGAATACTGTAGTTGGTTGCCATTTGTTTCTCCAGGGACTCTTCTCAACCCAGGGGTCAAACTCTCATCTCCTGCTTTGCCAGATGGCTTCTTTGCAGCCAAACCACCAGGGAAGCCTGTTCCATTCATACAAATAGACAATTCTTATAGAAATGATCTTTAGCAGTCTGTCTTATTTTAATTTTGATAGTGTATCATTCCCAGAAGATCTAGTAAAAATTACACTCTATATGCAAGCATTTTCAACTTTTATTTAATCTGTTAATGACATTACTTTTCTTCTGTGTATCTTAGGATTTTTTCTGTGAATTTAGTGAACAATCACCTTGTGTTCTTTCGAGATCTCTATTACAAGTAAGTTCCACTCAGTATCAAAGTAGTTCTTTAAGCAGCAAATAATGTGTATTGACATTGTTTTATTTATTATGGAATAAAAGGTGGATGCTTCTAAAGGGTATTCCATGGTTAGTGTTATATTTTTGGAATAGAAGTATTGACTTACAGTGTTAGACATTCATTAAGATCATAGTCTGTGCCAGAAAACAAACCTTAGTAAGTAAAAAAAAAAATTGAAATCATACAGAGTATGCTCTATGACTATTTTGGAATTAAACTAGTAATCAGTAGCAGAAATATCTGGAAAATTTTCCAAATGTTTGAAAATTAACACACTTCTAAAGAACATGTTCGTCAAAGAGGAAGTGTTGATGGTAATTAGAAATTATTTTGAACTGAATGAAAATGAAAATACATCAGACTTTGTGGGATACAGTTAAAGCAGTACTTAGAGAGTGTAGAACTAAATGTTTATATGAAAAGAAGAAAGGTCAGAAATTATAATTTAAGCTTCTACTTTGAAAATATAGAAAAAGAAGAGTAAATCAAACTAGAAACAAGCAGAAGGAATGTAATGTGTAAAATTACACAGAAATGCGTAAAATAGGAAAGAGACAAAGAACAGAGAAAATCATTACAGCCAAGAGCTAGTTCTAAAATTGATGAATCTCTATCAAGACAGACCAAGAATAAAAAAAGATACAGATAAATAATATTAGGAATCATTATATATCCTAAACAAATTAAAAGAATAATATAGAATATTCTAAATAACTCTATATCCATAAATGAAAAACTTAAGTGAAATGGACCAGTTCTGTGAGGGACACTACCAGTGCCCACTCAAGAAGTAAACAATTGGAAAAATCCTGTATCAATCTGAGAAATTGTGTTCATAGTTAAAAGTCTTTGAACAAAACTCCAGGCCAATTCTACACACAGGCTCTTCCAGAAAATAGAACAAGAACACATCGTATGAGGCCTGCATTGCCTCAATACCAAAACCAGACAAAGACATTTCAAGCTTAGAAAACTATAGACCTATATCCCTTAAAAACATAAGAATTAAAGTATTACCAGATCAAATCTACCAATATATGAAAAAAGAATACATTATAATCAAGTACATTTTATCCCAGGAATGCAAGCCTGGCTCAATGTTTAAAGTGTAATTTACCATATAATATAAAGTCTCAATAGATTCAAGAAATCTATTGGACAAAATCAACATCCATTCATGATAAAAAACTCTCAGCAAAACTAGGAAGAGAACTTCTTTAATCTGATAAAGAGCATGTGCAAAAAACCTATAGCTAACATCACACTTAATGATGAAAGAGTAAGTTCTTTCCTCTTTTGATGGGAAAGAAAGCAAGGATGTCCAGTCTCATCCTTCCACTTTTACTCACTGTGGTACTGGAAGTCTTAGCCAATGAAAAAAGGCATGAAAAGAAATAAAAGACATATAATTGAGAAAGTAAGAAATAATATTTCTTTATAGACAACATGATTGTCTATGTAGAGTACCAAGGAATCTGTGAAGAAGTTCCTAGACCTGATAGACGAGTTTGACAAAATCATAGGGTATGTATGATACCAATGTACAGAAAGCAGTTGTATTTCTATATACTTGCAATGAACAATGCAATCCAGAAATTTTAAAGCAGTACTGTTTACATTAAACATCAAGAATGAAGTACATAAGAGTAAGTCCAGCACCTGTTTGGAGAACCTGTATACTAAAAAACTACAAAGTTACAATGAAAGACATCAAAGGAGGCTTAAATAAATAGATATGTCTTGTTTGTGAATTGGAAGAATTGATGTTTTTTTAAGATGTCAGTTCTCTCCCCAAATTGATCTACAGATTCAGAGCAATCTCAAAATCATAGCAGAAGTTTTTGTAGATGTCAGCAAGTGACTTCTAAAATTTATATGGAGAGGCAAAGGAACTAGTACAGCCAAAACAAATTATTATGACTGTATTTTGAATTAAATAAAAATGAAAATATATCAGACTTTCTGGGATTGTAAATAATAATAATATTATTGTAAATAACAATGTATTTTAATTTAATAATTCATTATTTTAGATATATTTCTTCCAGTTTCAGAAAGTTTTTATGTATTCCAAAGTATTTATTTGAGATAGGTTATCAATTGGCTTGATATTTATAGTCATTAAATATTTCATAATTTATGAAACCTTTTCTTGTATATTGGCTCATTTGACATATTCAGACATGTCATTTCATTTTCACTAGTTTGATATTACTACCCTTGACTTGAGAGATTTTTTTCCTGCACATTTCTTCTGCGTCAAAATACTCTTAAATAGGGATTAAGGTAGTACCCATCATGGAAGCAGTGATTTATAAAAAATTTTCTACCAGCTTTTTACATTTTAATCTCTTGTATTCTGTTACATTTAAAAGAAGTATGCTTATGTCACGGTAATGAGAAATACATGTACAATATGTCAAGATTGTGACAGCATTACTAATAAATATAACATTTGTTTTAAGACCACTTTCCTGGTGGATAACAAAAAGGTCTTTGGAATCCATCTCATGCAAGACATGGTGAAAGATGCGCTTCGGTCTTTTGTCAGTCCTCCGGTGCTCTCCCCAAAGTGAGTATCACAGGACATTGTTTTGTACAGCCTGTGTGTTCCTTAAAAGCCCAAGTTCTCTGTGCTCCTTCATGGCAAAGATATAAAAACTGTTGGATTCAAGTCTCCATGTAAAAAAAATAACTCGTATCGTTAAAATTAATTGATTTCTGCCACATATTATTTAAATTTAAATTGAGGTTTTCTGAAGTTGTCCAGTATGAGAAGAAAAGTTTACAAGGACTTGTCAGAAATTCAGCAAGTTGTATTGACCCTTATTGTGTGCAAAGCACTGTGCTAAGTAGACGCTTTGGGAAATAATTATAAAAAGATAAGATTTCCTCTCAATAATCTTGAGTCTAGATAGAAATAGAAAATGCTGATAATTGATCTTTAATTATATTCCGGTAGAGTCATTTCCCCAAGGATCGTTTGAATTGGCCTTTTGGAAAAGAACACCAACTTTATTGACGTTTCCCTTGAGAAAAGAAGAAAGGAGATGTTATTTCTTAGGAAAGAAACCAGCGTTTGTTAAGATATAGTGTATGAAATCACATATTTTAAGGAATGTTAGTGGTTCAGCATTCAATTTGTTGAATAAATTGTGCCACATTTCACATAGGACTCTGGTAGCTTCCTGTTTTAGGTTGGTTCTCCAGAAGGTGATCCTGACACAAAGATTCATGCCAGTGTAATTTAGAAGGTAATTCCAGGAGAACTTTCAGGCTTGTAGGCAGGTGGGCACAAAAAGGAAGAAAGCCGTGTAGTGGTGTGCTTCACAGCTGGCTGTTGCTGTTCAGTCTCGGGGTCCTGTTTGACTCTTCGAAACATGATGAACTGTGGCATGACTAGTTCCTCTATCCTCTGTTATCTTCCGGAGTGTGCTCCGGATTCGTGTCCGTTGAGTCAGTGATGCCATCTAACCATCTCATCCTTGCCATCCCCTTCTCTCTTTGCCTGCAGTCTTTCCCAGCGTCAGGGTCTTTTCCAGTGAGTCAGCTCTTCCCATCAGGTGGCCAAAGTATTAGAGCTTCAGTTTCAGCAACAGTTCTTCAGTGCATATTCAGGGTTGATTTCCTTTAGGCTTGACAAGTTTTATCTCCTTGCAGTCCAGAGGACTCTCAGGAGTCTTCTCCAGCACAACAATTGAAAGCATCAGACTTCTTTATGGTCCAATTCTCACATGTGTACATGACTACTGGTTAAAAACCATAGCTTTGATTATATGGACTTTTGTCAGCAAAGTGATGTGTCTGCTTTTTAGGGCACTGTCGAGGTTTTTCATAGCTTTCCCTTCCAAGGAGCATGCATCTTTTCATTTCATGGCTGTCACCGTTGGCAGTGATTTTGGAGCCCAAAAAAATCTGTCATTGTTTCCACTCTTGCCCCTTTTATTTGCCATGAAGTGATGGGACTGGACGCCATGATCTTAGGTTTTTAATGTTGAGTTTTAGGCCAGCCTTTTCACTGTCCTCTTGCACTTTCACCCAGAGGCTCTTTAGTTTCTTTTCACTTTCTCCCAGCAGTCTTGATACCAGTTTTATGATTCATCCAGCCCAGTGAAGTACTCTGCATATAAGTTAAATAAGCAGGGTGACCCTATACAACCTTGTACTCCTTTTCCAATTTTGAACCAATTCGTTGTTCCTTATATGGTTGTAACTATTGCTTTTTGACCCTCATACTGGTTTCTTGGGAGACAGGTAAGGTGGTCTGATACCCCCATCTCTTTAAGAATTTTCCACAGTTAATTGTGATCCACACAGTCAAAGGCTTTAGTGTAATCAATAAAGAAGAAGTAGTTGTTTTTCTGGAATCCCCTTGCTTTCTTTATGATTCTACAAATGTTGGCAATATAATCTCTGGTTCCTCTGCCTTTTCTAAACCCAGCTTGTATGTGTAGAAGTTCTCAGGGGCAAGATGATGTTCATTGGACATTTGAAATGGTTTTTCTATGAATTGCCTCTTTTTATCCTTTACCCATGGACTTTTATTAACTGGTTTACTTTTTCAGAAAGTTAGTAACAAATCCTTGTGTATTATGAGAGGTTAATCCTTTGTGATAGACATTGAAGATTATTTCCTTAATCTTTTGTCACATCAAAATGTGTAAAATGCTGTTGGAATTTTTATAAGAATTACATTGAATCTGTAGATCACTTTAAGTAGTTTGGCTATTTTAAAAATATTAATTCCTCCAATCCATGTGCTTAGAATATTTTTCCATTTGTTTGTATCTTCTTCAGTGTCTTTTATCAGTGTCTTATAGTTTGCAGTGTGCAGGTCTTTCACCTCCTTGGTTGAATTTATTCCTAGATGTTTTACTCTGTTTGATGCTACTGTAAATGGAATCGTTTTCTTAGTTTCTCTTTCTGATTGTTCAGTGTAACAGTTTAGTATATTGAGTTTGTATCCTGCAATTTTACTGAATTCTTGTATTAGTTCTAACAGGTTTTTTCTGTAGAACAGAGAGTTTTCAATATGTAATATGGTGTGCTCTGCATATAGAGATCAGGGAAAATTATTTTTAAATTTCTGTGATTAAATGTATCATATATTCAGAATATGAATTGACAGACACCTGTACCACCATCTATTTTAAGCAAAGTTTTTATTTTGTTTTTATAAATTCCATTACTGATAAGGTCATTGGAAAATTAAGTATTTCATAAACACTCAATGTATTACTCAATGTATGAATTACTCATACATTACACTCAATATATGAATTATTGATACATTATTACACTCATACAAACACTCAATATTATTAATTAGTAAATTTTATTAATTCCCTTATTTGGTGTCTGATGTTGTCAGACACCTTTCTACGTTCTAGAGAAAAGGACACACCTGGTGACAAGGAGCTTACCTTCTAATGGGAAAGACTAAATTGTGAACAAATATATAATGTCAGGTCATAAGTACTGTATAGAAAGATAAAGATAAGATAGTTCTCATAAATGGGATAGTTGTGAAAAGTCTCTTGGGAGTGGTGATATATGTGAATATGCTGAGAATGAGCTACGCAGAATCAGAGGATGAAGCTTACTGACAGTAAGCAATAACTGCAAGGTCTCAGGAGTTTAAGATTGAGCTCTAGGTATCAAGGAGCAAGCTAATTTTAATGGATTCATTTATTAGAGTTACATCTAAGGTAGCAGTTCTCAACTGTTTTTTGTGTTTACATTCGTAAAAGATTTTAAGGACCCAAACAGCTTTTGTTTATATGGGGCCTATTTATTGATACCTACTATTTTAGAAACTAAAACAATACTTTAAAAATGTTTATTCTTTTTGAAAAACAGTAAACTCATTACATGTTAATAAACATATATAACATTTATAAATCACATATTAACATAAACTTGGGAAATAACTCATTAATTAAAATTAATGAGACAAGTGTAATTGTTTTACATTTTTGCAAATATCTTTCAAGTCTGTCTTAGAATATAACTGGATTACTTTAACCTGCTCTGTTTTCAGTCTGTTGTAGTATTGCTTGCCACGTAGCCTCTGGAAAAGCCACTGTACAGTTACGAGAGAATGAGTGCTTTTGGCAAATCAATGTGAATATTATTATGAAAGTAATTATAACCTTGTGTTCCCCTCAAAAGCATCTCACCAGGGAAACCTAGGCTACATTGAGAACCGATGGCTATATTTCAAATTCCCTTCTCCCACCCCATCCTTTTCTTTACTCTGGTCCTAGAGTTGACCACTACATTACAGTTTATGTGTCTCACTTTTATGAATACTTGTACACTTTTCCCAAATATCAGTTCAGTTCAGTCGCTCAGTCGTGTCCGACTCTTTGCAACCCCATGAATCACAGCACGCCAGGCCTCCCTGTCCATCACCAACTCCCGGAGTCTACCCAAAACCATGCCATCCAGCCATCTCATCCTCTGTTGTCCCCTTCTCCTCCTGCCCCCAAATATATGTGTCCCTAAATAACATCAGCTTATTTTGTGGTTTTAAACTTCACATAAACTTTGTGAGAGTGTGTATGTCTGTGTGTGTATAAATATATATGTATATATCCTTTTGCAACATGACTTTTTCCTTCAACATTAGAATGTTGAAATTGACCAAGTTTATCCAACAAATACATTTTGTTAAAATCCATACTTTGTACTGAAGTTTATTTTGTTGCTTCTCTGCAGTTGAAAATATACCTATTTCTAATTTATCACCATTATCATCAGTGCTATAGTGAACATCTTTAAATTATGACTCCTTTTGCACATAAAAAATAAAATTAATTGCTTATCATAGGCAAATGCATATTCAGCTTTACTAGTTTTGCGAAATTGCTTTCAAAAATAATTCAATGAATTGTGTATGCCAGCCAACAGTGTATAAGGATTCCAGGTGCCGCATGGTCTAGGCATTATCAGACTTTTTAATTTTTGACAATATAATATATGTGAAATAAGTGTCTACATCTTAATTTGTGTTTTGTCTTCTCTATTTAATAATCTTTAACACTTAGATTCCACATTGTCATGCTTAGTGTTGTTCATTTAGATTTAATTATACAGTATGATCCTCATTATTTGCAGATTCTATATTTGTTAATATGCCTACTTGCTAGAATATGTTTGTTAACCTTTAAATCTTTACTCACTCTGCTCTTGCTGTCTTCATGGACATGTGCAAAGTAGCAAAATATTCAAGTCACGCAACACTGAAGTCAAACAAGACAACTCTGTAACTTCTTGTGCCTTATAGTGTAAACTCTATTTATTTGCCCCAGTTTTTATGCTTTTTGTTGGTGATTTTGTAGTTTCATGGCCTCTGAGATGTAGTGATATGCTGTCTAGTGTTCCTGGCACAAGAAGGCTGTGGTGTGCCTTACAGAAAGATTGTGTGTTAGATAAGATTTACTCAGGTGTAAGTTCTCTGCTAATCAATCAGCAGTGTACTTTATATATAGTGTCTTTAGAAAGAAAGACACATAAACCAAGGTTAAACATTGATCAGTTGATTAAAACATTGGGACCAGAGGCTGGAGGAACCTAATCCTGTGTTTTATCATGGCAGCAGTGTTTCAGTATTCTCTATTTCAGCATCCACAGCAAGTTTATAGAACATAATTATCACAAATACTGAGAATCAACTGTGTGTATAGCAGTTTATTGCAAGGTAGTCATCTGTTTCTTGTTCTTTTATTTTTTTTCTTTTTTTCATTTATTTTTATTAGTTGGGGGCTAATTATTTTACAGTATTATAGTGGTTTTTGCCATACATTGACATGAATCAGCCATGGATTTACATGTGTTCCCCATCCCGATCCCCCCTCCTGCCTCCCTCCCCATCCCATCCCTCTGGGTCCTCCCAGTGCACCAGCCCTGAGCACTTGTCTCATGCATCCAACCTGGGCTGGCGATTTGTTTCACACTTGATAATACACATGTTTCAATGCTATCCTCTCAGATCATCCCACCCTCACCTTCTCCCACAGAGTCTGAAAGTCTGTTCTATACATCTGTGTCTCTTTTTCTGTTTTGCATATAGGGTTATCATTACCATCTTTCTAAATTCCGTATATATGCCTTAGTATACTGTATTGGTGTTTATCTTTCTGGCTTACTTCTCTCTGTATAGTGGGCTCCAGTTTCATCCATCTCATTAGAATCGATTCAAATGTATTCTTTTTAATGGCTGAGTAATATTCCATTGTGTATATGTACCATAGCTTTCTTATCGATTCGTCTGCTGATAGGCATCTAGGTTGCTTCCATGTCCTGGCTATTATAAACAGTGCTGTGGTGAACATTGGGGTGCACGTGTCCCTTTCAGATCTGGTTTCCTTGGTGTCTGTGCCCAGGATTGGGATTGCTGGGTCATATGTCAGTTCTATTTCCAGTTTTTTAAGGAATCTCCACACTGTTCTCCATAGTGGCTGTACTAGTTAGTGTATAGGAATGCAAGGGATTTCTGTGTGTTAATTTTATATCTTGCAACTTTACTATATTCGTTGATTAGCTCTAGTAATTTGCTGGTAGAATCTTTAGGGTTTTCTATGTAGAGGATCATGTCATCTGCAAACAGTGAGAACTTTACTTCTTCTTTTCCTATCTGGATTCCTTTTATTTCTTTTTCTGCTCTGATTGCTGTGGCCAGCACTTCCAAAACTATGTTGAACAGTAGTGGTGAGAGTGGGCACCCTTGTTCCTGACTTTAGGGGAAGTGCTTTCAATTTTTCACCATTGAGGATAATGTTTGCTGTGGGTTTGTCATATATAGCTTTTATTATGTTGAGGTATGTTCCTTCTATGCCTGCTTTCTGGAGAGTTTTTATCATAAATGGATGTTGAATTTTGTCATATGCTTTTTCTGCATCTGTTGAGATAATCATATGGTTTTTATCTTTCAATTTGTTAATGTGGTGTATTACATTGATTGATTTGCAGATAGTAAGGAATCCTTGCATTCCTCGGATAAAGCCCAATTGGTCATCATGTATGATCTTTTTAATATGTTGTTGGATTCTGTTTGCTAGAATTTTGTTAAGGATTTTTGCATCTATGTTCATCAGTGATATTAGCCTGTAGTTTTCTTTTTTTGTGGCATCTTTGTCTGGTTTTGGAATTAGGGTGATGGTGGCCTCATAGAATGAGTTTGGAAGTTTACCTTCTGCAATTTTCTGGAAGAGTTTGAGTAAGATAGGTGTTAGCTCTTCTCTAAATTTTTGGTAGAATTCAGCTGTGAAGCCGTCTGGTCTTGGGCTTTTGTTTGCTGGAAGATTTCTGATTACAGTTTGGATTTCCATGCTTGTGATGGGTCTGTTAAGATCTTCTATTTCTTCCTGGTTCAGTTTTGGAAAGTTATACTTTTCTGAGAATTTGTCCATTTCTTCCAAGTTGTCCATTTTATTGGCATATAGCTGCTGGTAGTAGTCTCTTATAATCCTTTGTATTTCAGTGATGTCTGTTGTGATCTCTCCATTTTCATTTCTAATTTTGTTGATTTGATTCTTCTTCCTTTGTTTCTTGATGAGTCTGCTAACTCATCAAGAGTAACTTGTCAGTTTTACTTTTCAAAAAACTAGCTTTTAGCTTTGTTGATTTTTCTGTGGTCTCCTTTGTTTCTTTTGCATTTATTTCTGCCCTAATTTTTAAGATTTCTTTCCTTCTACTAACCCTGGGGTTCTTCATTTCTTCCTTCTCTAGTTGCTTTAGGTGTACAGTTAGGTTATTTATTTGACTTTCTTCTTTTTTCTCGAGGTAAGCCTGTATTGCTATGAACCTTCCCCTTAGCACTGCTTTTACAGTGTCCCATAGGTTTTGGGTTGTTGTGTTTTCATTTTCATTCAGTTCTATGCATATTTTGATTTCTTTTTTGATTTATTCTATGATTTGTTGGTTATTCAGAAGCGTGTTATTTAGTCTCCATATGTTTGAATTTTTAATAGTTTTTTTCCTGTAATTGAGATCTAATTTTACTGCATTGTGGTCAGAAAAGATGACTGGAATGATTTCAGTTTTTTTTAATTTACCAAGGCTAGATTTGTGGCCCAGGATGTGATCTGTTCTGGAGAAGGTTCCATGTGCACTTGAGAAAAAGGTGAAATTGATTGTTTTGGGGTGAAATGTCCTATAGATATCAGTTAGGTCTAGCTGGTCCATTGTGTCATTTAAAGTTTGTATTTCCTCATTAATTTTCTGTTTAGTTGATCTATCCATAGTTGTGAGTGGGGTATTAAAGTTTCCCACTATTATTGTGTTATTGTTAATTTCCCCTTTCATACTTGTTAGCAATTGCCTTACATATTGCAGTGCTCCTATGTTGGGTGCATATATATTTATAATTGTTACATCTTCTTGGATTGAACATTGGATCATTATGTAATGTCCTCCTTTAAGTATTTTATCTGATATGAGTATTGCGACTCCTGCTTTCTTTTGGTCTTGTTCTTTTCTTTTAAAAGAGCTCTTTTGCATACTCTTGTCTTGTAGATTTTTTCCTCTGTATTCCTCATGACATCTATTTTTGCTGTGTTGTAAGAAAGTTATTCTCTTCATCCTCAAGGCTGTTGTGAGCATCCTTTCACATACTAACTTTTTTAACTTAAGAAATCCTAATTTTCGGATCCAGAAAGTCCCTTTTTTTTAAGTGCTTTATTTTTGTCATCTTAAACTATTTTCTTACCTTGGACCTTCCAGCACTTCTCTTTTGCTGCCACCTGTTTCAGGTGTCCTGCCTTCTCTTTCTTGGCTGCTGCCTGCTGTGTCATTTTCTACCACATGGTCATGATTCTGTTCTATCTCTTGAGGTTCTGGTCAGGTTGCTCAGTTATGGCGAACACTTAGGAATAGCAAGTTGTCAGCTCCTTTTGGTGCACAGGGGAAGTGTTTCCTCCTTCCTGTCTCCTTAGGAGCAAAGGCTACTGCCCTCCTACCTCAGGGAAAGGCGGGAAAAGCACTTTCCATCTCTTCAGCTCTTGTATTTCCTCCAGGGCCAGGCAGGTAACAGATCTTCCCAGACTAAACAGGAAAGCCTTTCTCAGTTAAGCGATGCTTTTAACTGAGATAAGGAGCACCACAGGGACACTGGTTTGTGAGGATAGACAATGAGGTGCTAGCAGGATGTCTAGGTGATAATTTTGGCCAGCGACTGGAAATGTGGGTATATCTTGAAAAAAATCAGATTCTATACAGTATTTTTTAAATAATTACTGTTGTAAGTACAGTTCACAAGGGTACCACCTGTAGGAAAATAATGAATATTAGAGTAGGATTAGAAAAAGTAGAGCTTTAGAATTTTCCCTCTTTGTTGATCTTATTGGATCCAGCACTTAATTGTCCAAGTACAGAACTAAAGGAACTGGAAATATTGCACATTTATTATGTGGCTAACAAATAGTGAAATACTTCCTAATTTAATGCCAGCACTCTTCAACTTCATGATGTATTTGTTTCCATTTTCTCATTTTTCCACCTTCCCTATGTGTTGGTAGCACCTACAGTGCTTCTTTTTGTAGGCCAGATAGTTTAATTTGAATAACAAGAATATTACATCATTTTACAGGTGCTGCCTATATAATAATCACCAGGCTAAGGACTGTATTGACTCTTTTGTTACTCACTGTGTTCGGGTAAGAGCTTCAGTTTGGATCGTTGCGGTGGATTGTGGTGTGAAAAATCTTCAATAGCATTAATTTGTGCTGTTTTTTCATCTAATGTTTCTTATTCATTTTCCCTGAATAAGTAGGAAATTTTTGTCTCCTCTTAGACTCAAGTGGATAACTTCATAACCTGTAGTCTTCCTGCGAGTTTGTTACATACTGAGGCATCTTCTGATGCCCTCTCACCATAACCCTTGTGGACAACAGAAACAGAATTAGCCATGACCCCCATCTAAAAAGAAAGGAGTTTACTTTTTTTTTTGAAAAAGGACATAAAAACTCTTCTTACTTTTGACCTTATAAATAACAAATATGGGTAACATCCCCAGGCGTTTATGTTTGTACTGCTTTAATGCGCAGGATTACGTACTGTGCTTAGTTGCTCAGATGTGCCCAACTCTTTGTGACCCCATGGACTGTAGCCCATCAGGCTCTTCTGTCCATGGGGTTTCTCTAGGCAAGAATACTGGAGTGGGTTACCATGCCCTCCTCCAGGGGATCTTTCCAATCCAGGGATGGAACCCAGGGCTCCTGCATTGCAGGCCAATTCTTTACTGTCTAAGCTACCAAGGAAGCCCAAGAATACTGGAGTGGATAGCCTATCACTTCTATAGGGAATCTTCCCATGCAGGAATCAGACCAGGGTCTCCTGCATTGCCGATGGATTCTTTACCATCTGAACTACCCAGGAGGACTATAGTAAAATTAAAATTATCAAATTTTGATGAGATCATAAACTTTTTTCAAATCTCAAATAATTTGAAAAAATAAAAGCTTCATAGTTGATCAAATTAATTATAAATCATTCTTAATTATAAGTTTTTTATATATCTTTATTGCCCAATTCCATTTACTAAATGTGTGTTTGTGTGTAAAGAGGAAGTAGGATAAGATAGCATGGTATGATGCAAGGAAAATCAATAAAAGACCAGATTTTATTTTTATTAACTGCCATTTTATCATTATCAGGCAGATTACTTTACTTTTTTATAAACCTGCCAATCTTTAAAAAATGAAATGTTAATACTGCTTTGATACCTCTTACAGACTACTTGTTGATTAAGTGAGATAATAGCTGTCAAAGTATACAAATGTAAAGTCATTACTATCCTTAGAGAATCTTAAAACGTGTATTTCTTAAATCAGAGCATTCCTTTCTGTTGTCTGATTCATAAACTGTTATAGTATTTTATATGAGAATACTGAATAGATTAAAAACAGTGATAAAGAACCTTAGTGAACAAGTGTTCGTCACACAATCGTGTCTGACTCTTTGCAACCCAGTGGACTGTAGCCCGCAAGGCTTGTCTGTCCACGGAATTCTCCAGGCGAGAATACTGGAGTGGATTGCCATTCTCTCCTCCAGGGGATCTTCTCAACCCAGGGATTGAACCCAGGTCTCCTGCATTGCGGGTAGATTCTTTACTGTGGTTTTCTGGGTTTTAGCCTTTACCTAATTATTAGGCATTCTGGTATATTTAAAGCAGCACACAGAAGTGTCTGGCTTGAACAGTAACTTTTGACTTGAAATAAGCAGAAAAGAAACTGCTCTTGAATATGTGGAAAAAATATCTAAAGATTGAAGGAATTATTTTTGCCATATGAGAGCAAGTTTTGTAAACAATCAGTTTCCTCTGGCTATTAATAATTTCTAGTATTGAGTTCCTTTAAAAGAAACACCTTTGTAGTAAGTATGCATAGGCATTATTGTTATATACAACATTTTTTCCCTTAAACCTGATTTTGAAAATTTGGAATGTTAATTTTCTTTAGTATCAGCAGATTTCATATTGACAGTTAATAAATTATACTGTTAACAAACACAGTTAACAATCGTATTGTGTATTACAGCCATTCTGTAGTCTTATTCAGATCCATGGACATAACAGGGCTCGGCAGAGAGATAAACTCGGTCATATTCTTGAAGAATTTGCTACCTTGCAGGATGAGGTAAGAGCCAAAAAGAAGCCTTCCCTTCCAAAATAAGCAGTTCATATACCTTGACTAGATTTTCAGAAACAATTCTTTAAAACAATAATTTGACTACTTAATTTTTTAATATGGTGAATTTTCTTTTCCATTGAAATGTAACAGTTACATATACCAAAGAAAAGTTTACAGAAAGAAATAGAACAGTAATCTAAATAAAAAACATTTTAAATTATTATAATTAATGAATTATAAAATAGGTATAGAGCTGTAGTTATAATTAGAGTAAGTTTGCATTGTAATAAAAATATATTAGTCTTCATTTAAATGTGAGCAACAGCCACATTGATAATGTAACTATAGATCTGAAGCCAGTTATTTTTATACTGTAAAATGGATGTCTTTTTAATCTCGGAAGTGTTTAGATAAATATTATCCTTTCAGAAAAGAAAGGTTTGAATGTAGATCTTACCAAAGGTGCATTTTAAAGTATGAATTCTTTAAGTGGTGAGAGTTACATTGTCTGCTTGTGTGCTGTTTTTAGCTGTTACATTTTTTGTAATTCTTTCATTACCTTAACAAGTTGATACTAATGACATTTTGTTGTGATAGGCAGAGAAGGTTGATGCAGCCCTCCATACTATGCTGCTGAAACAGGAGCCCCACAGGCAGCATCTGGCCTGTTTGGGTACCTGGGTCCTCTACCACAACCTTCGAATCATGATACAGTATCTCCTAAGTGGCTTCGAATTGGAGCTCTACAGCATGCACGAGTATTATTACATATATTGGTAAGAGAATGATTGGAGTTAAAATTGATGGTGGGTGGGATAGATAAGATTTGTGAGAGCATCTGTAGAGTGTAATTTTAGGTTTCTTTTTTTAATTACTGTATTTGAATTTTAGTTGTGGGACAGTTGAAGAAATTCTATTGAAAATTAGAGCCAGATCATCTTAAAAATCTTAAGTGTCTTAATAGTGTACAAATACATTTTTTCTGCCATTTGAATCGTTATTTTAAAATTACTAATAAAGTGCCTAAAAATGAATTGATTAATGGACTTTTATCTGTTTCCAAAGAGAAAAATTAACATACATTTTGCCCTGACATCAGTGACGCTAGGTACTAGCTGTGGAATGTACTTAAGTGAATTAAAGTTCAAAATGTGAACCAGATCTTCCTTCTGAGAAGAAATTATGGCTAAGATTATCACTGGGAGTATAACTGTTGCAAACTGGCCCTGAGGATTTGTCTCAGTAGCTTTGAAGAAGTTTACAAGAGGTAATCTTCAGCAGAGTAGTTCTTTACTTCCACTTAGGGGTGAGATATATCTAGTAAGAGGATGCTCGAGAATATTTTAGACATGAAAAACCTGTCACAGAAATAAAGAAAGAAAATTGAGATCTAAAATGGATTCAGCTATCTTGTATCTTTTTGTTAGTCTAGTAAAGTATAATAATTTAGTTGTAATTTAAAATAGAAATGATCTATTGTTACCCATCACAAACAGCTAAGTTTAGTATATTAGATCTAATTATAGTTATTCTTTTTAATTCATTTTTAAATTATGTAACTTAAAATTTAAAATATTGTATATTCCCTGAAGTCAATGCTGTGGAGGCAGGAGAATAATTATTTTCCACACCATTAACAGCGTCCATGTTAGAGATGGGAATACCAGTACACCTGACCTGCCTCCTGAGAAACCTGTGTGCAGGTCAAGAAGCAACAGTTAGAACCGGACATGGGACAACAGACCGGTTCCAAATTGGGGAAGGAGTACATCAAAGCTGTGTATTGTCACCCTGTTTATTTAACTGTATGCAGAGTAAACATGTGAAATGCCAGACTGGATAAATTACAAGCTGGAATACAGGTGGCTGAGAGAAATATCTACAACCTCAGATATGCAGATGATACTACCCTAATGACAGAAAGTGAAGAGGAACTAAAGAGCCTCTTGATGAAGGTGAAGGAGGAGAGTGAAAAAGTTGGCTTAAAATTCAACATTAGAAAAATGAAGATCTTGAGATCTGGTCCCATCACTTCATGGATTACAGATGGGGAAAAAATGGAAACAGTGGCACTTTTCTTTTCTTGGGCTCTAAAATCACTGAGGATGGTGACTGCAGCCACAAAATTAAAATATGCTTGCTGCTTTGAAAAAAAGCTATGACAAATCTAGACAGCATATTAAAAAGCAGAGACATCCCTTTGCTGACAGAGGTTTGTAGAGTCAAAGCTATGGTTTTTCCAGTAGTCATGTACAGATATCAGAGTTGGACCATAAAGAAGGCTGAAGCACTGAAAAATTGATGCTTTCAAACTGTGGTTTTGGGAAAGACTCTTGAGAATCCCTTGGATTGCAAGGAGATAAATCCAGTCAGTCCTAAAGGAAATCAACCCTGGATATTCATTGGAAGGACTTATGCTGAAACTAAAGCTCCAATGCTTTGGCCACCTGATGAAAAGAGCTGACTCACTGGAAAACTGTGATACTGGGAAAGACTGAGGGAAGGAGAAGAGGAAAACCAAGAATGAGATGGTTGGATAGCATCACCAAATCAGTGGACATGAGTTTGAGCAAACTCCATGAGGTAGTGGAAGACAGAATAGTCTGGTATGCTGCCGTCCATGGGGTTTCCAAGAGTTGGACACGACTTACCAGCTGAAGAGCAGCAGCATCGAATGTCACTTTCACCACCTGCACATCCACAGATGAGCACTGTTTCGGCCTCGGAAAGTGCTGCCAGTGCTGTAGAGAACAGTGTTGCATAGGAACCAGGAATGTCAGGTCCATGAATCACAGTAGATTGGATGTGGTCATGCAAGTGATGGCAAGAGTGAACATCAGCATCTTAGAGATCAGTAAACTAAAATGGATGGGGACGGATGAGTTTAATTCAGAGGACCATTATATCTACTACTGTGGGCAAGAACCCCTTGGAAGAATTGGACTGGCCCTCACAGTCAATAAAAGAGTCCAGAATAGAGTACTTGGGTGCAGTCTCAAAAACTACAGGATAATCTCAGTTCATTTCCAAGGCAAACCATTCAACATCACAGTAATCCAAGTCTATGCCCCAACCACTAATGCCAAAGAAGCTAAAATTGAACAATTCTATAAAAACCTCCAAGACCTTGTAAAACTAATTCCAAAATAAATAATTAAATGTCCTTTTCATATAGGGGATTGGAATGCAAAAGTAGGAAGTCAAGAGATACCTGGAGTAAGAGGCAGTTTTGGCCTTGGAGTACAAATGAAGCAGGGCAAAGGCTAACAGTTTTGTCAAGAGAACATGCTGGTCATAGGAAACACCCTCTTCCAACAATGCAAGAGATGACACTACACATGGATATCACCAAATAGTCAGTACTGAAATCAGATTGATTATATTCTTTGCAGCTGAAGATGGAGAAAGCTCTATACAGTCAACAAAAACAAGACCTATAGCTGACTGGGGCAAAGATCCAGTCTTTGAACTGAATAAGGATGAACTCCTTATTGCCAAATTCAGACTTAAATTGAAGAAAGTAGGGAAAACCACCAGACCATTCAGGTATGACCTGAATCAGTGCTTTATGATTATACAGTGGAGGTGACAAATAGATTCGGGGAATTAGATCTGGTCGACAGAGTGCCTGAAGACTGTGGACGGTGGTTGGTGACCAGAACCACCCCAAAGAAAAGGAAATGTAAGAAGGCAGAGTGATTGTCTAAGGAGACTTTACAAATAGCTGAGGAAAGAAGAGAAGTGAAAGGCAAAAGAGAAACATACACCCAGCTGAATGCAAATTTCCAGAGAGTAGCAAGGAGAGATAAGCAAGCCTTCCTAAGTGATCAGTGCAAAGAAATAAAGGAAAACAATAGAGTGGAAAACACTAGAGATCTCTTCAAGAAAATTGGAGATATCAAGGGGACATTTCATGCAAGGATTAAAGGTCAGACACAGTAAGTAACTAACAGAAGCAGAAGACACTAAGAAGAGGTGACAAGAATACATGGAAGAACTATACCAAAAAAGATCTTAGACCTAGATAACCATGATAGTGTGGTCACTCACCTAGAGCCAGATATCCTGGACTGTGAAATCACATGGGCCTCAGGAAGCATTACTACAAAGCTGCTGGGGGTAATAAAATTCCAGCTGATCTTTTTATTTTATTTTTTTTTTCAGCTGATCTTTTTAAAATCCAAAAAGATATTGCTGTTCAAGTGCTTTACTCAGTGTTAACAAATTTGGAAAACTTAGCAGTGGCCAAAGGACTAGAAAAGCTCAATTGTCCTTCCAGTCCCAAAGAAGGGCAATGCCAAAGAATGTTCAAACTACCATACAATTGCACTCATTTCACATGCTAGCAAGGTGATGCTCAAATCCTTCAAGCCAGGCTTCAGCAGTACCTCAACTGAGAACTTCTAAGTGTACAGGCTAGATTTTGAAGAGGTAGCAGAACCAAAGACCAAATTGCCAAGATTTTTGGATGATGAAAAAAGCAAAAGAATTCCAGAAAAACAACTACTCTGCTTCATTGATTACACTAAAGCCTTTGACTTGTGTGAATCACAACAAACTGGAAAATTCTTAAACAGGTGGGGGTACCAGACCACCTTACCTGTCTCCTGAGAACCCTGTATGCAGTCAAAAAGCAACAATTAGAACCAGACAAGGAACAATGGACTGGTTCAAAATTGGAAAAGGAGAATGTAAATACTGTATATTGTCACCCTGCTAATTTAATTTATATGCAGAGTTGCATCACGTGAAATGCCAGGATGGATGAAGCACAAGCTGCAATTAAGATTGCTAGGAGAAATGTCAACAACCTCAGATATGCAGGTGATACCACTCTAATGGCAGAAAGTGAAGAGGAACTAAAGAGCCTCTTGATGAGGGTGAAAGAGGAGAGTGTAAAAACCTGGCTTAAAACTCAACATTCAAAAAACTAAGATCATGGCATCCGGTCCTATTACTTCATGGCAAATAGAAGGGGAAAATGTGAAAACAGGGACAGATTTTATTTTCTTGGGCTCCAAAATCACTGAGGATGGTGACTGCAGCCATGAAATCTGAAGATGCTTTCTCCTTGGAAGGAAAGCTACGACAAACCTAGACAGCATATTAAAAAGCAGAGACATCACTTTGCCAACAAAGGTCCGTATAGTCAAAGCTATGGTTTGTTCAGTAGTCATGAATGAATCTCAGACTTGGACATGCATAAAGAACGCTGACCACAAGCGAATTGATGCTGGGAAAGACTCTTGAGAATCCCTTGGACTGCAAGGAGATAAATCCAGCCAATCCTAAAGGAAATCAACCCTGAATATTTATTGAAAGGATTGATACTGAAACTGAAGCTCCAGTATTTTGGCCACTTGATGCCAAGAGCTGATTCACTGGAAAGACCCTGATGCTGGGAAGGATTGAGAGCAGGAGGAAAAAGAGGTGATGGAGGATGACATGGTTAGATAGCATCACTGACTCAATGGACAGGTGTTTAAGCAAACTGGGATATCGTGAAGGACAGGGAAGGAAGCCTGGTGTGCTGTAGTCCGTAGGGTCACACAGAGTTAGCAGTGGAATAGCATAACCATTAACATGGTTTTGTTTTCATGATTGCTAGGGCTTTTAGCAGGTAATTCTTGGTTATGAAAATGAATTGGAGCATCAGTATAGTTATGTGAGAACAATATTATTTTGTATGTTCTCCAACATTTATGTAGGTAACAGCTCTTACCAACAGGTGTTATAGCTACTTAGGATTTTTTTTTCATTAATTCATACTGCACACTCCTGTTCAAACAAGGCATTTTGTAGAGGATTGTGCTCAAGTTTTGTTGTTTGAGGCAGCTGATTGGAAGCTTTTGTGCTCTTGATTGCTCAAAATATAATTTTTATATGATCTTTGACACACAGAATTGGCAGATGAATTATATTTAGATAAATACTTGAATAGAAATTTACCTATATATTTGAGCAAATTCATTTCTTGCTAACAAAAGAAATTTTACTTCTGCTTTAAGTATCCTGGTCTACTTTGATGTTAGTTTTAACTGCTGTTTAGTTTTGGTATTACAGATTGGGCTCCAGCATTTTTATAAAATGTGTATTGTTGTTGATCTTCCTGAATGTGATCCCTAAAGCATGTGGACCCTAAAAATCAGTTTAAAAAAAAAAACAATAATTCTTAAATTTAGCATGCATCATAATCACTTGGAAAGCAACTTGTTGGGCTCTGTTCTGGTGTTCCTGGTTTAGTAGGTCTAGGGTAGGACCCCGCTCCACCCCCCCACCCCCCCAATCATTCACATTTGTAACTGCTTTGCTGGTAAGACTGCTTTTGGTCCTGAGATCACAGTTGAGAACTGGTATAGAATATTAGCTCTTTGATTCTCTTTAGATAAAATTGTATATTATTTTGATAAAGCAGTTAATAAAAAGCTTGTTGATATATCTGATAAATGAAAGGGAAGGCCTGAATTATGCCAGCTGTCCCCTTTACTCATCTGTTCTTGGGTTAGGTAGTCAAAAGGTAGAAGGTAGCATTAGTTCTCTATAGAAATCATCCCTTTGAGTTAAGGTAGGTTACAGACCCTCATTTTATAGTGTGATGGGGGGAAAATTCATTTTTGTTTTTTACAAGGATTCTATAATAAGTGCTTTTCTTAAATTCATTGCCAGGATTTCTTTTCTCTCCACATAATACATACTTTTTCTAATCAGATGAAGTCATACTTTCTATATACTTTTTCTACTCAGATTTCCTGGTTTGCTGTAGCTGCCAGGAGGCATAGTGCTCAGTTTAGCATTAAAATAAAGTGCCCAAGTCATTCCAGGTGTATCTGTTCATTTGTTTTGCTTTTTTTTCTCCTGGCTGTGCTATGTGACTTGCAGAATTTTAGTTCCCTGACCACGGACTGAACACAGTCCATGAAGTAAAAGCACCCAAGTCCCAACCACCGGATGCCAGGGAGTTCTCTGGCTTTGCTTTAAAATGTTCTTTTTTAACATGTTTTAACAGTATAACCTGCCTTATAACTGTTTGAGAAATTTTTGGAATGTGTCATACAAACTTGATCATGAAATTTCTTATAAATCTTTGATTTTCATTTAATATACTAGTGGTCTTTAATTTTATTCAAGGAATATATATTTATGTCCTAGATTTGAACTATTTTTCTGGCCTAAGAGAAAGTAGTATTTGCCATTTTAAACTTACAAGAATTTAGTACCTGGTGAGATAATGTCTCACATTTCTTTATTGAATAAGCTCAAGTAAATTATATTGCTTACATGTTTTTAATGTTTTAGAATCATTCTGTCTAATGCATGTAATTTTTGTTAGTTTCCTTTTGTAATTAATAAGAAAATAAATTCCTTAATAGGTTTAGGTGAAATGTGACCTATATTGATAGAGTAAAAACAATTTGCTGGACATTCATTTGATTTACTGATACATGTAATTACCAAGAAATCTTTTTTAATTGAAATATAGTCAGTCTACAGTATTGTGTTAGTTTCAAGTGTATAGCATAATGATTCAGTATTTTCGCAGATTATATTTAATTATAGGTCATTACATGATAATGAGTGTAATTCCCTGTGCTATACAGTAAATCCTTGTTGCTTATCTATTTTATATATAATAGTTTGTATCTGTTAATCCTATACCCCTGACTTGTACCCCCTCCAAAAATCTTTTGAAAAGTTGTAAAACTCACATCATTGTAGTATATTTTCCATATAGTGTGGTAACAAGAAAATTTCCATATTGTATGGCAACAGGATAGGGAAAGTTAATTATTTGTAATGGTCATTTTTTTAAGATTTAATCTATCAATTATCTATTTGAATAATCTTGTTTTAAAACAAAAAACTTTTAAACCATTATTAAAAAAATCTCTCTTTATTAGTACTAGAGCATGTTTGACCAGGCCATCTCATTTAGACATCTATCATTAACTAACATTTTCTTTTCATTAAGGTATCTCTCTGAATTTCTTTATGCCTGGTTGATGTCGACATTAAGTCGTGCCGATGGCTCTCAGATGGCAGAGGAAAGGATAATGGAAGAGCAGCAGAAAGGCCGTAGTAGTAAAAAAACAAAAAAAAAGAAGAAAGGTGATGTGAATTATTTTTAAACTTAAGAAATAAGTTACACTGGAATGCACTTTAATTTCATCAAATAATGGATGAATTAGTCATTATATTTTTATTCTCACCCATCTCCTCTTCCCCGGTGGCTCAGCTGGTAAAGAATCCGCCTGCAGTGCGGAAGACCTGGGTTCAATCCCTGGGTTGGGAAGATCCCTGGCGAAGGGAATGGCTACCCATTTCAGTATTCTAGCCAAGAATTCCATGGACAGAGGAGCCTGGCAGGCTGCAATCGATGGGGTCTCAAAGAGTCAGACACAACTAAGCAGCTTTCACTCACTCACTCACCTTCTCTCCAGAAGATACTAGGGTAGAAACTGAGTCACAGTATTAGTGTAGAATCCTTTCGGTTTCTTTCCTTGCTTTTCTTTACTTCTTTCCTATTTCATGTGTCAAAGGACCTTAGGACAAAAAGCAGTAACCACATGGAATAAGATAAGGAACAAGACAGCAGGAGACTGTTGATACTCTTTTGACAGAAGGCTGATAGCTCAGGAAGGAAGGAAATCTGGAGTGGTGCTGTTACAGTCAAACAGAAAGATGATCATACACTGCCCAAGCACCATGAGAAGAAAGAAATGTTTCCAGGGGACTACCCTATTAATCACTCATGGGCTGATACAGATAGACTACAATCATTAAAAATAGTGCTTTGTGTTCCCTTCAGATTCAGCAGTTTGAGTGGGTCATTAAATGACTATACCCATGGCTTTTCTGTAATAAGAAATTCTCTCTGTATTGTGACTTGAGAAAAAATTACAATTAATTTATACTGAAATCTTATGGTTTTGGAAACACAATTAATGTTTAACCTTAGCCCTATTTTATTATTTGTAGATTTGGGCCATAAAATTTAGCCTGTGGGAACAAACTTTTTAATATTTTAATTTGGTAAACAAGATACAAGATTTTTTTTTAATTTAGATTTCTTCTGCAGTAATGCGAGAGGAGGAGGGAAAAGAATTTGGATAATTTTCTTTCTAATTATAGTTCGCCCATTGAGCAGAGAGATCACAATGAGCCAGGCATATCAGAACATGTGTGCTGGAATGTTTAAAGTAAGTTGCTACATTGCTGTTTTATTATTTAAAGTAAGTTGCTACATTGCTGTTTTATTATTTAACTAAAATGAACTCTCCTATAATTCTAGGTTCTAATTTAACCTTCATTTTTACTAATTGTCTGCTTAAAAATGACCTTTTATCCAAGTCTAGTGGTTTTATTAATTTGTTCAACAAATACTGAACATTTGTCATATATCAGATGTCTTGTACTAGGTGAGATACCAAGTCTAATCTGATGTGATCCTTGTCTCAAGTGCCTAGTTAATGTTAGACCAGATGACATATATGTGGCATAGATACTAAGAGAGGGAAGAGTTTACTTCTGATTGATGATCAGAAAAGGTTTCTTGGAAGAGATGGGTTCCAGATTTTTTTTAGAAGTATGTTAGGAAAGGGGCAGGCTCCACAATGAAAGGCTTAATTTAAGCAAAGCAGGCATTTTCAGGATATAGTAACTCGAGGAAACAATAAAATACATAAAATAGAACATGGAATTCTGTTTGGAAAACAGGATCAGTGCTTTTCTTATAGAAATGATATATTACTTTTTCTTCCAGAGCTTTTACTTGAAGTTTTCAAAGCTGTTACAAAAGCCTTAAGAAGAATGTGCATGTGGTACAATTTCACTGGGAAAATTAAAATATTAGACACTGGAACATGAACATTTTTCATATAAAAGATGGTGCAGAATGTCAAAATGAATATTAAAGCTAGTTTTTCTTTTCCTGTTCTTGATTTCTGAGCCTTGTTTTGATTAACTGTGTATAAATAGCTGTTTCTTATTTTCTGCTCTCTATTAATGAGGATCTTCACATTTTCATATTGTTATCATCTTTCTCTCTCTTTGTACTGTAGACCATGGTAGCTTTTGACATGGATGGCAAAGTACGAAAACCCAAGTTTGAGCTTGATAGTGAACAAGTTCGATATGAGCACAGATTTGCTCCATTCAACAGTGTAATGACACCACCACCAGTGCACTATCTGCAGTTCAAGGTGAACCTGCTCCTTAGAATAATTGCAAAATATTTAGTCTTAGACCTTCTTGGAGATGTGCTATTTGTACCTATCCATTTTGCTAAAATAGTCAAGTGAAACTATTATTGGACCAGTGAGATAAAGGGATGAAATAGCAGTTTTAAATAGTATGAATATTATTTGACTTTGGAGGGTATACCCATCACATTAACAGTTATTTAAATATGAGAATAATATGAAGTGTGGTATATGAAGGTTGAAAATTGAATAGGAAGAAACCAGGACATGCAGAGTGTTTGCTTTAGTGTCCATATGTGAATGGATAATCAATGTAGAATTCTTTAATTTAAAAAGATATTTTAGAGTTTTTCACATTAAACATACTTTAAATAATAGTATTTCTTCCTTTTTAGGAAATGTCTGACCTCAATAAATATAGCCCTCCTCCTCAGTCTCCAGAACTATATGTGGCAGCTAGTAAGCACTTTCAGCAGGCAAAAATGATACTGGAAAATATCCCAAACCCAGACCATGAGGTAAGACTACAGTCACAGTTATTCCACAGGAAGTTTGTCAGGAAGTACATCACTTACTACTGGATAACAGTTTAATCATAAAATGAACCTTACAGTATCAATAAATGAAGACTGTCATGTTTCTGCTAAGTATTTCAGTCTAACTTTGTCAGACTTAAAATTATATGATGAACGATGATACCAATATCTCCTTTGTGTAAATTTAGAAATCCGTGCAAAGAGAAATTAAGACTTAGAACCATAAAGCTGGAAGAATAGAAATAAGACCCAGATTGATCTACAGCTCAGTAATGTTAACATTAAATTTTAAAAATTTTAATTATAGTTTACTGTATTAAAATGTAATTACATAAATCTTAAACCTAAAAAATGATCTAGTCAGTTATCACAGGAAGTAAAAACCTTATTCTATTTGACCATTTAAAATAAAGCCTATTGTTTTAAAGACTATTTTGAGTATCATTTTACAGAGCTTAGAACTTGCAAAATACAAAATATTGTTTCAGCCTTTTATGAGTTTCATTAATTTACTGTATAACCTAATTTTATTGAAATGTATTTATTCTGTAAATGAGAGTTACCTGTAACACACAGACCATTTTGAGGGGTATATCTTGATACAGCCTGCATGAAAGGTATCTTAGCCATCTCTTAAAAATCACAGGTGCCTAGGTCCTGAAATTCTGCTTCTTGGGATTTACCTTACAGATACCTGTGTACATGTGGGAAATGGTAAATATACAGATATTGTTGAGTGTGTACTATGTCCTAAGTACTCTGGTATATTCCAGCAGGGGAAAAAAACAAAAATCTGGACCCTTCTAGGGGCAGGGGGGTGCAGGCAGTAAGTAAATAATTAAATAGTCTGTTATAAGATCAGAAGTACTATGAAGAAAAACCTTAAGAGATTTTTGTTCTGAAAATAGAGATAGTGAATGCTCCAGGAGGTATGGAAGTGGAAGGGATTAGACATTTTTAAATAAGTTGGCCTCTGAGCAAATCCTGGAAGAAGGCAGAGAAGCAAGTCATATGACCACCAGGGAATGGAGCCTTCTGGGCAGAGGGACCCACATGTGTAAAGGTACAGAGACAAGAGTGTGTCTGGAGTATTTGAAGAACAGCCCAGGGCTGTGTGCTGGAGTGAGGTGGACACAGGGTTGAGCTGCTGGAGAGTTTTAATGTGACCAGATCTGACTTTTGTTCTAAAGGATTACCATGCTGGCCACTGTGTTGGAAAAATAGACTGGTGAAACCAAGGATGGAAGCCAGGGAGCCAGTTAGAGGCCATGGCTATGACCCAGGTGAAAGATGGCAGTGCCAGTGGATCAGAAGTGATTGCATTCTCTGTAAATTTTAAGGTCTAGCCAGTGGTATTGACTGATGGATTGGAGGTGGAGTTAGGGAAAAGGAGGAGTCAAGGGTGGTTCTGAGGTTTTTGGCCTGAGCTCCATCTGGTTGGATTGAGTTGTAAGGGGAAGACTGAGGCTGGAACACATGGGGAGGCAGGGCTGGGAAGGTCAGGAGCTGAGTTTTGAACATGGCTTTGGATGCCCAGATGGAGTGGTCATGTAGGTGAGTGGATATGTGACATGGAGCTGAGGGGCAGCAGTTCCTGAACTTGAGTAATTAATGTGTCAAGTGAGGTGAGGAAGAAGCAGGCAATGGGAATTTTTTTTTCAAGTTGTCCATTACTCCCTCTTAAAGAGAAGTGGGTATTCCATTCCGTTGTTATTCATATTTTCAGGCGAAACGTTTTGGACAAATGGTTATCAGAGATAGCAGTTAAAGGACACTTACTGCCTGCTAGGCATGAGTTTCGGTTCATAATATGTGTTAACTCAGTCCTCAAAAATCTTTGCGGGATAGGTAAATTATATTCCCATTTTTACAGATGAAGACACTGAGGACAGAGAGGTTAGAAAACTTGCAGAGGTTTCATAGCTAGTAAGTGGCAAAACTGGACTTTGAAACTAGACAGCTTATTAACTCCAGAGTCTGTGCCCCAAATATTATATTGTACTGTCTTTGCAGGACTTCACAATGTAATGCTTCTTTGTTTTAATGAAAACAAGATACAGTAGTCCTTTCAAGTTTGTTACTAAAAGATATATGGTGGTGCTCATGTTTTGAAATTGCTTTCATTTTAATAAAATACTGACATTTATTTTGTGCCACATTCCTATTGGTATCTATAAATCAATATATTTTGACTATGAATTTTATGTTTTGATAGCTTAATGTTGTTCATTATTTAGGTCAATAGAATTTTAAAGGTTGCCAAACCCAACTTTGTGGTTATGAAGTTATTGGCAGGAGGACACAAAAAGGAATCCAAGGTAAAATATATTATTATTCAGTTATTATAAACTTCATTTTTTTTTAGTAAGCTGAATAAATATTACAAAAAAAGTCAAAATGCCCATAAAGATGATTCTTAAAGAGATTCAGTGGCAGAAAATAAATTGGAGCTTGCCATTTTGCCTTGAAACTTAACAGATTTTGTTGACTTAAAATCTCTAAAGTTTGCTCTGCCCTTCCACATAAATTACTGAATGACTTGAGGTAACAAAAGAAAATGTGTGAAAACCAGCTTATGGGAATTATTTAAAAAGTCATCCACCTTTAGAAAAGTGAATGCTTCCAAAATTAGCCTCCAACTAATAAAAATAAATGAAAAAAAAAAAGAAAAGTGAATGCTTCAAAAAAAAAAAGTGAATGCTTCAATAAATAAATACTTCAGTGGTTCAGGAGATGGAATTCTGTAAGCCTCCCTTGGTTCCACTGGTGCTGTATCAACATTCGTGCAGAAGTAAGAGGCCAACCACGGAGCCATTTCTGGTGGCGTCTGTCCATTATATAAGACATACCTCTATTTGTTTGCGCCCATTGCTTTTCTGTTACCCCTCTTTCTTATCACCTCTGCTTTACCAATGACTCATTTCATTTCTCAGAAGTAGCAGCCACCCTGGGACTAAAAGAAATTGCTGACCCATGACCTTTTCCTGTAATTTAAGTCTGTTTTCATTAAGTATTCTCTAAAAATAGAAAACCATTGGTCAGCATGTTTTCTAATGACCTTCACGGATCCAGAGATAAGCTAAATCATTTTCTTTTCCTTGTTTTTAAAAACACAGGAGTCTAAAATTACATCTTTATTTTGTTTACTCTCTGAATATGTATAAGATACATGGATTGACTTTGTTTTCACAGGTTCCTCCTGAATTTGATTTCTCTGCTCACAAATATTTTCCTGTTGTGAAACTTGTTTGAGAGAAAGACTGAAAAGGTGACCAGAAGGGTGGAGTCTCCTTTCAGATTCTGTTCTTAGAGGATCTATCTGTCAGTCTTACCACATAACGTGAAGTGAAATGGATTTCTTGGATAACAACCCATTATAAGGAATATTTTTAATTTGACAGCCTTATATGACGTGAATGAAAACTGCTGTTTTAAAGTGGTTTATTATGTTCCATGGATGAAACTAGTCTTATTGAATGCATTGATGAATGTTACATGGTTTTATTACAGATTTAATCATAAATCATTTTTTATGAATGAGTGAAAATAGTGTTTGTAAAGGTTAATAAATTTCTTGACAAAAAATGCACTATTGGAGATGAAAAACAATAGCACTTTGTTGGTACAAGTTAAGAATTGAAGGTGTTTACTTTTAATATTTGAGCAGTTCAAACAGAAGTTTCAAATCAAGGGATTTAGTAAACACTCACATGGGATTTGGGCTAAATACACTCAAGGGAGGTTTGGGGGGACCTCCTAGCTATACAGGGATACTAAGTCACACAGGGATTGTGATTTTGTGTGTCACGGTATCTTAAATTATATACCTGTCAGAATTTTTTTTTAATCCTTTAACTGTTACTTTTGGCACTTTTAAAAGATTATACATTATGTTTGCTAGTGATGTTAGAGGATTAGGTTTAAACATGACATACTGCTTTTTATTACCACTTACTTAGTTTAACCCACGAAACATTTTCAAATGGGGCCTTTCCAGCAGCCTCTGGCTCTGGAAACTGACTTAAACTCACCTGTACCTACGAGTGCCCAGTGCCAGTGGCTCCAGCCTTCTTCCTTTGCTGCCAGTTCCTGCCCCATCTGCCCTGCTGTTCTGTGCCATATTGCTGTGATCTCTGGGGGCCTTTCCTTGGGTCCTGCTATTAACAAGACAGTATTGCTAGCAGAAGGAGTTACATGAGCTTTTGGCTTGGCTTAAAACGGCAACAGTTTTAGATTTCCTTTACGGTTGAAAAGGTTCTGAGTTTCAAGTATCTTAATTCTTATTTGACACCTTTCTTGCAGATGTCTTACTGAAACTTTATTTCTGGAAATATCTTAAAGCAGCTAACCTGCATAAATCTTGCCTACTATAGTAGAGCCAACTGTAGAGTAAGAACATTCGTGACTCCCCTCTTCTCAGCTCCTGAAGGCTCTCTTTACCAAGAGTGGTGGTAAACGTTCTTAACCAGGAACAGTCAGTAAACATTCTGAAATCTCAGAATCCAGAAGTCTTTAAAAAAAACTGTACAAAAGAAGCTATAAAGAGAAAGAAGGTATCTGTTGCCTTCTATTTGGTTAGTTTTCTGAGAAGGAAAACACTTTCTGGCTGGTAATTTCTGATCATTTTAAACAAGAAAAATGGTAGAAAAGAGGTGACAGAAGAAAGAATTCAAAACGCAAAGAGGATAAATAAAGCAGCAAGATTTGGCGGACAGCCAAGAGCCTGAGGCAAGCTATAAGAATGTGGATCAGTGCCAACAGGAACCATGGATTAAGAGGGCGCTGCTGGCATTTTTAAACTGATGCCTAATTAGTTCAGCTGAAAATGTACATGAAAGTTATTGAGTAAGGGTTCTGCCTAATTATAGAGCACCTAAGGCTGTTTTTTCAGGAGTGGCTCTCCCTAAGAGCAAAGAGTGTTCCTAAGTTTCAGCTGCAGGTTTCTAATCAGAAAAGCTGAAAGTTGCCTTTTTCAGAACTTTTCAGAAATCTACCATGCAAGGTGCAAAAAAAAAAAAAGATGGGGGAAATAAGACTCTCTCTCCCCTCAGAGATCTAATAACCGTAAGAAAGCAGAAAAATGAAGAAGTCTTTATTATGCCCTGGGGAAAATGAAGTGTGCTGGGTGTAGGAGACCCACCTCACATGATTAATGGAGAAAGTCACCATCTCATCCAGGTCCCAAACGATGACGCACTAGCTGAGTCCCTTGCCAGGGACACAGGTGGGCACAGGCCTGAGGTGAGAAGGTGGCAGTTGACTAAAGTATAGAGCAGGACAGGGTTTGGAGAGAGGAGCTGGAAGGAAGGGGGGACTGTTGACTGATGTTGGTGGATACGGCTGGAAGGTTTGAATCAGGTAAACAGCAGGATCAAATCAGATCTGCTTGCTCATGATTACTGGTTCAGAAGGCTGTAGGCAGGGAAGCTTGTTAGGTGAGAAGAAATGATGGCTGGTCTTAAAGGTAGTGGCAGAGGGAACAGAGATGAATGCAATCAAAAGATAAAGAGGTACAGGACTTGGGTGAGTTTGTGGGAATCAAGGGTGATGATTCATAGGTTTTATGGCTTTGACTACTAGATGAATGTGGTGCTGTTTGCTTATATAGGCAAAACAGGACACAAGGTTCAGGGATAAAGATTGTTTTAGATGTTAAGATGTCTTTTTTTCTTTCAGGCTGTGCCACTTGCAAGGTCATAATTCCCTGACGGGGGAATAAATTCAGGCCCCTGGCAGTGGAAGCATGAAATTCTAACCAGTGGACCACCAGAAAATGCCTTGTTGAGCTGTCTTTGAAAAACATCCTAGTGAGAGTGGCAGGTAGTTTGGTGTGGAGCTGAAAGGCGCATTCTTGGGTAGACATGAACTGAAGACTTAAGTGGCTGCAGAGATGAATTGTAAATGGAGGCCTGCACTGGGGGTTGCCGGAGAAGGCAATGGCACCCCACTCCAGTACTCTTGACTGGAAAATCCCATGGATGGAGGAGCCTGGTGGGCTGCCATCTGTGAGGTCACACAGAGTTGGACACGACTGAGCGACTTAGCAGCAGCAGCCCCTGGGGGTTGCAGCTGCTCAGGGAACATGTAGAAGAGCCTGAGATTGGTCCCAAGGAAGAGTCAGGATAGCCAAGTTCTAAGAGTGGGCCAGGGAAGAGGTGGGAGAAAGGAGCAGGTAAGAAATGAAAACAAAAGTGAGCGCCTTAAAATCATGCCGTGCCACCCTCTGACCAAGTTTCTGTCACTGGTTTCATAAGACTCTGGCCTTCTAAGAAATCACCTTAACTACTGGTCAAAAAAGCACCCATTTAGAAAAGTTTAGGAGAGTTTTTCTCTGGCATGAAAAGGAGATTTAGCCAGAAAATAAGTAGTGCAGGGCCACATACAGCTAATAGACCTAAGATAAGGACCAAAATGGGCCCACTGGATCTGACAGGTTGCTGGCGACAATAGTCAGAACCTTCTTGAAGAGGAAGGGCAGAATTGGCATGTTGAAGTGTTAGTGAGTGGGGTGTGAAATAATGGAATCATTCTTTAGAACTGACTTCTCCACATTCATCCTTACTCCACCCTGTTCTTGGAGGAGCTGGTATTATCATAAAAGATCAACTATTCTCTGGTTAATGATAGTCTTCACTAAGCGAAACCTGGTTTGGCCACTTCATTTCTGCCCTCTCCCCTTGGCTTTTCAAGCTGCATCTTACGTTGCTTTTCCTCTGACCAGCCAACCTCTTCTCTTGGACAGCTTCTCTTTATCCTTGAAGTTTCTGAAACATTACATCTTCGGAGAATGCTCCTGTATCTCCTGGTTTAGGCCAAACCATTTAAAAGTGCTTAGCATTTTCAGTTCAGTTCAGTTGCTCAGTCATGTCCAACTCTTTGCGACCCCATGAACTGCAGCATGCCAGGCCTCCCTGTCCATCACCAACTCCAAGTCCACCCAAACCCATGTCCATTGAGTCAGTGATGCCATCCAACCATCTCATCCTTTGTCGTCCCCCTCTCCTCCTGCCCTCAATCTTTCCCAGCATCAGGGTCTTTTCCAGTGAGTCAGTTCTTCACATCAGGTGGCCAAAGTATTGGAGTTTCAGCTTCAACATCAGTGCTTCCAATGAACACCCAGGACTGATCTCCTTTAGGATGGTCTGGACTGGTTGGATCTCCTTGCAGTCCAAGGGACTCTCAAGAGTCTTCTCCAACACCACAGTTCAAAAGCATCAATTCTTCGGCACTCAGCTTTCTTTATAGTCCAGCTCTCACATCCATACATGACTACTGGAAAAACCATAACCCTGACTAGACGGAACTTTGTTGACAAAGTAATGTCTCTGCCTTTTAATATGCTGTCTAGGTTTGTCATAGCTTTTCTTCCATGGAGCAAGTGTCTTAATTTCATGGCTGCAATCACCATCTGCAGTGATTTTGGAGCTCCCCAAAATAAAGGTCTCTGTTTCCACTGTTTCCCCACTATTTGCCATGAAGTGATGGGACCGGATACCATGATCTTAGTTTTCCGAATGTTGAGCTTTAAGCCAACTTTTTAGCATTTTCAGTTGTAGTTAATTGTTTCTATCTTCCCAGCTGTAGTATAAACTTGAGAAAAAGGCCTTCATCTTTGCGGAACCTGCTCAAATTAGTTGGAAAACTGAATGAAGGTTAAAATGAAAGCCTCCAGGGCAGTAGGAAGGCTCAATTTGAGACACCTGATGGTGAGAACACAGGACACTTAATGCTAGGGGAGTTTTGAAGTAGGAACCTGGAAGTGGTCAGTTGGAGTCTGGTAGCCTTGCCCATAAATGGCTTGCATCAGCTGAAGAAATTGGTTGCACTGACTTAAACTATAGGAATTTTTTCTGTAGTCCTCTGCTAACAATGTCTTCTATTCTTTCCATTTAAAAAGAATGTATCAGCTTTTGGAGGACCACATAAAGTATTATGCAAAACTCTGAATTTCTAAACTACTGCTAAGATACAGATGCAGTATCTGCAACCATCTGTGTAGAATTCAAACATTTAGGCCAAACCTTTAAGCCAAGCTTAAAGGAAAGTGTGGTGCTTTGTTTTGACCAGAGATGTGTAATCCGTTGACTTCCAGAATAACTTTTGAATGAACCCATCTCAAAAAGCCAGAGCAAGGATGTTATTATAGCAGAATTGTCCTTCACAGGGTAAAAACTGGCAGCTGTAGACTGGTAGTTAAGGTCACAGAACTACTCTTTTATTTTTTTTTTTATTTTTTATTTTTTTTTAGAACTACTCTTTTAAATGATATTCAGATGTGAAATAATAATGTGGCCGCTTTTTTGGTGTGAATTAAGACGTTCAGGTGAAGGTTTGAGTTCTGGATAAAGGCAGATATGTTACATCATACTGGAAGTTCCACTGTCATTTTACTACTAAGAGAGCCCCATTAGTAAAAAGCAAGCTCTAACATCAGGAGCTCCTCCACAAAGACTCTAGTTTACTTCTTTTTTAAAAAATATTTATTTGTTTATTTTTAATGGTGCTGGTTGTGGCACATGGGCACTTGGTTGCTGCACATGGGCTTTGCTAGTTGTGGCCTGTGGGCTCCGTAGTTGTAGCTCACAGGCTTAGTTGTCCTGTGGCATGTGGGATCTTAGTTCCTGGAACAGGGTTAGAACCTGTGCCTCCTGCATTGGCAGGCAGACTCTTAACCACTGGACCACCAGGGAAATCCCTCTGGCTTACTTCTTAGAGCCTGAGTTTTCATCCTCATTCTTATGTGTCTGTTAACATTCATTCTAAAAATGCATTTGTTTCCCTAAATCTGTTTATGAGGGTTCTAAAAGGCAAAACTTCAGTTATATGAAAAATTAGGTTACCTAGGACCACATCTCTGGTCACTCAGTCTTTATTTGAACTTTAGTCAAATTTACCAAGCACCCCTCGCAATATTAGAATCTCTGTAGGGATATGAAGTGTAAGCCTGTGTCACTCAACTCGATTTTTATTCTACTTTAAAACATTTAATTTTATTCTAAGGAGTAAGGATTTAAGAAAAAAAAAAAAACAGGTATTTGTCTCAGGGCCTTGGTGTATAAAAAAAGTCATTAAGTTTGTATATAGTTTGCAGATGAGAATGTCTCAAGTCATGTCTCTTTCCCAGAGATGAGTTTCACAGGCACATCAACGAGCACAGTGCATGGGAAGAGACCTACTTCTGGGTGATCCTTCACTGTGCACATGACCAGAACCTTACAAACCTAGTTAAGAAGAGTGGCTTAGTTAGTACCCTTAAGAAAGTGTTGCCCTCTGAGTTGAAATAGAACACATTTAAATACACAAGATAAGCCATTTCCCCAACTTTCTAATACTAGTATTTTCAAAATCGAAGATGACAATGTGAAAAAAATATTAGTATAACCCAGAGTTAATGGAAACTTTAAAAATAAATATATATTTTCAAACTCATTTCAATGGCAAGTGTTAGAAGTGGACTGAGTCTCCTATAAACTATCCTTAACCTATAATCATTAGTAAAGATTACCATCTCTATTAATGATTAACTGTTATTAATCATTAATAAAGATTACTTTATAATCTTTTAAGCTAAAATACATAATGAGAATAGACCAGTTCCCCCCTGGACCTTAAAAGACTCTGAAATTACAATTCTCTTCCACCATTCCAAGTTCTGTTATGAATAGATAACCACCTATTACCAAGTAAAACAATTACGCCAGTTATCAACCTAGTTATTTAATGACACCACAATGACTTAAACAGGGACTGTTTTTTCAAATTCCATCACACAAAGTATGCTAGGTGCAATGATTAGAGTATTCATGAAATCTAATCCAAAGCTGCTATGGCAATCTTCATATGTAGGAAAAAAGATCAAATTAATCATCACTCCTTGTCCACACACCATTTGAAAATATAGAGGAGGGTGTGAATCAGTTTATTAAAAATTGGACTAGCTGCTGATTTTAGATGAACCCAAGACCATGTTGTTTGATAATCTATTTGATGCTTATTACACAGGTTTTATTTTTTAAATAGCTGTGGCATCTCTAGATTGTTCCTTGGAATAGTTGATCCCAAGGGAAGCCAACAGCAATAAAGCATGACTGCTTGAAGAAACTAAAGTACACACCTCCTGAACAAACAGCTTTCAGGTGCCTCTGTACAGGGAGATTAAATCACGATTATTTTTTATTTATATCAGCATCTCATTCCACAGAAAGGTTTAATTAATAAGGCAAACGACCATCCTTAATCCACAGTTTACAAGCTGATTCCTTAGGGTTTCAACAGCAGATGAAGGGAAAACTGAAAGCAGTTTTAAAACCTGAACAAGAGTTTCATTTCTCAGCAACTCTAGGCACACTGATTAAACATGAGATGAATAAAAGCTAATATGCAAGACATCAACCCTAAGACTGATTGAGACTTAAGACACTGGACAAGGACCTAGATGAGTATCTTAAAAAGCTACTTTCACACCCTTCAGTTGCCTTTTCTGGGTGGAAAGTTATAATCTTAATGATTAGGTAGGAAAAATACCACACACCATTCAAGTTGGAGATCATAACCTGAATGCAGACCAGGCCCCACCCCTCAGTGGCAGTAGGGGCACCAGGAGTCCACAGCTGGAGGGGAGGCAGGCACTCTGGCTGGGCCTGGAGAAGCTTTGGAAGTCCTCTGGGCCCCAGGCTCTTCTCTGTTAATCAGGGGGTTATGTCACATGACCTGAAGCCCCTGCGTCTCAAGCCCTATGACTCAGAATGCTGATGTAATAAGCATCACCACCCACTTAACCCTGTAGGGAACCTTTCTAAAGGTCACTAATGTGAGTCTGCCAGCCATTCACAAGTCTGACAAGAGCCTGTTTATTTGCAATGTTAAGAACCAACTTAAACCTGATGTCACTATTAAGCAAATTATGATTAGTCATTTTCAAATTAACTTTTGGTTTTTAAATCAGTTTGTGATATGGTCCTTTACCACAAGGTACATGTGTAAACTGAAAAAGACAACTACTGCGTTTTTTTTTTACTTTCTAAACTTTCCAAATCTGTATGCTGTGTGTCTCCTCCATCATCAAATTTCTCTTCTCTTCTTCTAGCCGTGAAGTAGGCAGTTTGTCCACAGCGCTGTACCGCCCTCTCTGCCACACGTGCCCAAGGTCAGCCCCGCTTTAGCCCCTGATGCGTCAGAAGTCTAATCCACACTGGCTTTTCTTGGTAATGCTTTGCCCACACATACTAAGCAAGGCAAGTATAGATCACAGGTATTCAAATTACGAGTCACTTGTAAGCATTTTGTACATTAATGACAAGGGTTATTGTACAAGTAGCAGTCTTTTAAAAAATCCTCACACAAAACACCTCTGTGTTTAGACTTGTTTAACACCATTGCTAGTGATGTTTATGTTAACAGTCAGCGCTCTAGGCCACTGATTGTCAGAACCAGAAGTGAGCACAGAAGAATAAACCAAAAATCACTCAGTGCCGACTGCAGGGCTGGTTCCTGTCTCAGCACTGCACGTGGAGAAGAGAATGACCACATGGCGAAGAGAATGACTCCAGAGGGAACTGAAGACCAGCTCTGCGAGTATGGGAGTCCCCTTCACATCAAAGGTTACACTTCACAATATGAATCCTGCTGTTGCCGTACTTGAAGGAGAACCTGTGTTCTATTTCTGGTGTTGCTCTTCTTATGAAATACCTATATTAGCCAACAGATTTCAACAATTTTGACATCTCAATATAAACACTTCAAAAATACCTCTAAAACACTGTCTCAAAGACAATCTCATTTTCCTACATTGTAAATACAAACTCCACAATAATCATCTTCAGATATTTTACTTAGTCATTTCACAGTATTCAATTCCTCATGACTATTGTAGTGATCTCTATTCGATTCTGACACAAAAAGAATGTGATTCCAGTTTGATTCAGAGTGTGTGATTCCTCTTTTCACGCTGATCAAGTAAATTTACTGTGTCTCCTTTCTGATTTTCGGCGTTAAGAACTAAAAAAGAAAGAAAACAAAATGTTCTAGTATTAGACATTTTGAGAAACCAGCCCAGGCAGGTCCCATTTGACTTGTGTCTATAGGGAGGACTGTCTCCCAGGGTAACATCAAAATGTGGAACTTCATTGCTAATCAAGGACAAGACAGCAAGAGTCTGTATGTACAGCCAGCAAGGTACCATGAACTGTGAAATAGTGAAATGATGTTCTACAAAATGGACAGTATGAAATGTACTCATAGAATTTTTGACATGATCATGACCCTCATGTGCTGCATGAATCTGTTTACTGCACCTCCAGTAGGAAGCACACTGCCTCCTAAAAGCCATTCACAAATCAGGTTAGCTTTTTACAGAATGGATGTCTACATGTGGTTTCCACCTTCTGTATCCTACGACACCCAAAGGATGTAAAAAGACACATCACAAATATATCCTAAACCCAAGATCCTCATTTACAACTACTGCACATCTTAATGATTTTATTATATAAATGACTATCTTAAGTTCTCTAATAAAAGTTGGAACTAATGCCTTTTTCTTCTAATTTCCCTGGAGAAGACAGGGTCTGAAACCATCTTGATGACATAATTTTAAAATGACATTTCTTCAACCTAAAATTCTTTCTTAAAAGAGCTGACAGAACCATTTCTCTACTTTGCTCACCTCCTCAATTTGTTTAAAAACCTTAGCAGGTATAAGGTCAAATCCTTAGAAGGACACCTGGGTGTAAAGGATGAAAGATCCCAAGGCTTCATTGCAAAGTCACACACCTAACTTGTATTTGCTTAAAATTCTGACTCCTAACATGTTCATCTTTTGCATTAAAAATAATTAGCTAAAGAGTCTATGAAAATAATTTAAAAATGAACTTAAGACTTTCAATTTTAGAAACCCCAAGCAACTCTGCCAATTGTAGTAAGTGACATGCTGGATAAAATACAAAAGACTTTTTAAGGATGCACTGCTGAATCAAACTGAACTTTCTACCAAACAACTGGCCAAAACACTTAAAAAAATTATCAGTGTTATAAGTGATAAAGACAGAGGGTTCCAGGTTAAAAGACACTAAAGAGATATGATGATAAATGCAGTGTATGATTCTGGATTAGATCTTGAATCAGAAAGGGGTTATTAGTTGGACAATTCAAGAAATCTGAATAATGTCTATAAATAATAGCATTATGTGACTATTAAATGTCTTCATTTTGATTAACTGTACTATGGTTACATAAGATGTTAACACTTGGGGTACCTGGATGAAGGTTTGTGGAAATCTTTACTAGTTTTGTTTAAATTATTTCAAAATGAAAAGTGAAAAAAAATAAAACATTAAAATGCATTGCCTATGAACACTAACAGGAAGATAAAAAATGGAGTGGAAATATTAACAACTGAAGGTAATAAGCATCAATGCCAGCTTTTGTCCTGAGGACTTTTGCTGAAGCCTGAGAAGACTCCGAGCTCCCCTCACAGCTTCAAAAGGCCCTAAACACGAGGGCTCCCCTCAAGGTGGGGAGTGAAGAAAGGGATGCCCATATAAAGGTGAACCCTAAAGTTTCACATAATTGCCTTAAAGGCAACAGGAAATAAACCTGCAATGAAAAGTCTCGTGGTTAAAAAGAGCATTTTTAACCACATGAGATGATCGTGCAGGTGTATAATTCAAAACTCTCATTTTTCCATGTGATCCCCCAAAACCCTAAAGGTGACAACCTCCTTTATTAAAGGAGTTGTGAGTTTGCAGTACCCTCCTGGGGACTGGCAGAGGCAAACAACCTCTCTCTAACTCGGTCCTCAAAGACTTCCCACAGATGAAGTTCCAAGGAAAGTAGTAGCTCACAGTTAAGCATAAAATACACAAACAAGGTATCAGCAGAAATGAAATGAAACTCTGCAAGTTTTCAGATACTACAACTGAAAGACAAGGCATATGAAATAATGTTGACAGAGAAATTGAAAGCATGAGCAAGGAATAAGGACCCATAAAGAATGGCCAAGTAAAAAGTTTAGAAATTAAAACAGAGCAAAGAAGGCATAGATGAAAGAAAAATTTTTGAATTGGAAGATATTTCTGAGGAAATTATTCTCAACACAGATCAGAGAAGCAGAAATGCAAAATATGAAAAAGAGGACACGAGACATGAATAGATTGAAAAGATCTAATACACTTCTAATCTGAATTCGAGGAGCCAAAAAGGAAAGAAGCATTATTCAAAGAGATGTTGGCTTGAATTTTCCAGAGAAAGTAGACTGGCTAGATTAAAAAAAAAAAAAGAAAAAAAGCTGCTATACTTAGAACAATGTGGTACACTGTGAATCAAGAGAGAAATCAATAGGACAGAAATAGAAAATCCAAAAATCAGAACCAAGTACATATGAAAATCCAGTGTTTGATGATGGCAGCACCTCAAATCACTGACTGTGAGATGGTGATCTGAGATGGTGTTGGGCCAACTGCAAACACCTTTGGAAAAAGAAAACTGGACCCATATCTCATGCCCATACACTTGAAATCATTTAAAGTGAATCACATGAATCAAGAGATGTAAGTTATGAAAATAGAGGATTCTGGAAAGATGGCAGAAACAGTGGCAGTTTTTGAACCTCTCAGAGTCCTTATATAAAGCAACTACTAAATTTAAAAACTCAAAAACCAGAGACCATTTACAGCAAAACTAGCTGAGCAGGAGTCCTGCAGACCCCAAAATACAAGCAGTCAAAAGTAATCCATGGACAGCAAACCATACACTCGCAGTGTCTGGAAAGAAAACAGAGGGAAGCAATGGAGCCTCTGATGGACCCGAGAACAACAGAAACCCTACCAACCAACAGGTTACGGCGGAAAGCACCTGGGCCAGTGGGGGAGTTGCAGCTGGAAGGGGCAGTCTCTGCTACTCCCACAGCAGGTGACCACCAAGTGCCCATGGAAGACGAAGGAGCAGGCGGAGGTCCGTGAGACACGCTGGCAGTGGCTCCTCTGGGTTCTTCCCAGGGAGAGCCCCTCACAGAGAAAAGGCACCATGTGGAGAGAAGTGGTGGCTAAGCGGGATGAGAGACTAAGGAACCAATGGTTCAGAGAGAAGTGGGGCAAATCTCACTGGCCAAAGAAGGTGGGACGATGTGAACTTCAAAAATGATTATAAATGCAACTGAATGAAACCCATCAAAAAGGCTTAAAAGTTTATATTTTCAAATGGTCACCTTCAAAAGGTCAAAGGAAATAATTCCTTATTGTGAAAACTGGTAAAGAGAAAGAAGCATTTATCATGCCTGTGCTATATGAACAATACCATGACTTCTATTTACGAAATGTTTCAATTAAATGAAATAGGAATGGCTGAATTAAAATACTGCCTCTAGATAACAGCTGGTGATCTGCATGAAATAAACAGGGAGGAAAGAACACAGTAAACCAAACCATGACTAGAACCATGAATACCCAATCAACACTCCCCAGACTGATCAAACAGCAATGGCTGGCTGGATGAATGGACGGATGAAAGAAGGAAGGGAGAGAAGACTTATAAATTGAACTTAAACTCATATCAAATATAAGAAAATGGGCAAGACTAAACTATGGCATCCAGGGATGCCCACTTGGGTGATAAACCCATAAAGAAATTCAAGAAAATGCCAAATGGAAAGGTGAGGACAGGTACTGCAATACAGGGAGGGAAGGTGCTGGGACAGGAAGGGCAACAAAGAAGGAACTTCCTGGAGCCCAGTTCTGTTTCTTGATCAGGAAGGCAGGGTGCAGTTACAAAATGTTTAACTTCTAACAACTCGTTTGTTTTGTGTGCGTTTCTGAATCTGATTTACTTCATAAAACCAAAAGAAAAATCTGCAAGTATACTGAACAACAAAAAATGGGTGAATTCAACTCTAAATGAGAAAACTGTGACTCCATATCTGTAGGCAAAAAAAGACATAAAAATTTTTGAAACTTTCACATGGCAAAAAACCATAATGAAAATCAAGATAAACTGCTAGGTAGTATTGGCAACCCACATCACAGATAAAGGCCAACCTCCCCAGCATGTAAAGAGCTCTTAAAAACTGAGAAAGAAACAGCAAGAATTTGACGGAAGAACAAACGTTAAGAAAGGAAACCTTGAGTCTACAGTGAAACTAAAACAAGGGAGAGAGAGTATGTGTGCCTGTGTGTGTGTGCAAATGTATACACACTGGGGGTGAAGGAGTCCTTAAAGAATGACAGCTGATCAATATGTGGAACGACCATCCAGACAATGGTTTTCAATGGATAACAAAGTCACACCATGCACAGCATCCCCCACTGGATGACATGTTAGTTACACAGAGAAAATGGACCTTTGCGGCAGAGAGACCTTGTGGGGTACCACCTTAACCAAGGATCAGCCTGCCACCCCGTGCCTCCTGATGTGAAGCTAGAACACAACTGCAGCTATTTAAAAAAGAAAAAAAATTTTCAACCAGAATCCAATCACAAGGAGACAAATCCAGAATCTGACCATCCCACAGTCCTGGACTCTTCAAAAGTTCAAAATAACAGTAACACAAAGTAACACGGAGCGCTACTATAAAAACTTGCCTGTGTACACATCACAGCATTTTGACTGGTGCTATGAAATGATTGTGCAGTGATCTACCGTTTTGAAGGGAAATTCCTAAACTTCACTGAAGCATATCCGCACTGACCCCCGAGGGGCTGATGCCCATGTTCATGTATGCAGACTTTCTGAAAGGTCCTTGTGGCTTCCTGAAACCGTCACCTCTCTCCACTGCCCCTATACTCCACGGCTTCCGGAGAAAACAGTATTCTAATGAGGGATTACTTACATTATTGTTGGGATTCAGTATACAGTCATACCAAAAGTGAAGGACCACAATCAGACATGAAAGGTGACCCCCCCCAACCACCATTGTTAATTACCATTTCTGTTTTTATCATTCCCCGCAAGGGCTGCCTGCTTGTCTGTTTCAGATTCTGCCTCATTCTCATCCATGTTGTAGTCATCATCAGCTCCCAGTTTCTGCTGATTTCTCCCTGAAAAATTAGCACAGAGCCACAAAACATAAGCTACATCATTTCTCTCTCAATGCCATGGGAACACCAGAGCCCAGGTGCTAGGGTTATCCCAACCCTGGTTTAACAATCAGCTCTTTCTGCTTCCTCTCAGGAAATGACAGGGACACATGTGCTTGTTCTTGCTGCAAAGACCATGCAGGATTTCTCTACTTATGTATGCCCCACTCCAACTCTGAATCTATTTAGAACATGGCCCTAAATAGCTTCATTCCAGGCTGGAGTCAGGGTAACTAGTTCACAGGTTTCTGGTTAAAGGAGATATCTGCTTAAAATGGTTCACTGCCCTGAGAGAAGGAAATGGAACAGCTATTATGAGTCAAAGGGTAAAATTTTTCCATCAAACATACAGAATTAGCTCATTTATCACTGCATTCATCCCCAGAGAGAAGAGCAACCAGAAAAGATCAGGACAGGATGCAATCAAGAGACACACTCAGAGGGTTACTGTAAACATTTCGTGTCTGTATAAACAAGATCTGTTTAAAAAGCATGCCTGGAAAAGTCAGTTCTAGTTCTATATCCCTGCGCTAACTGCCTGGAGAGGAAACAATGCCCAGGCCTGTGGCTTTATCCTGCTAATCAGACCATTACAGCTGACCTTGAACAAGGTGTGACTCACAGGCCCCCCGCAGTAGCTCAGGCCTACTGGCAGCTGTGACACCCTGGGACCAACTGCTGAGTAAGCTGAAACTAGAGTGCCACTCTGACCAGCCCCCGGAGTGTCCTTTTTTTCTTTTTCTCCTCCCCAATTATTTAACTGGAAACTTGTGAGAACACACTCTTCAGAAAATCGGGGTAACTTCTGCCAGTAAGTCCTATCCCCACCTTCTGTCATTTTATCAGGCTCAGCACACAGCTGTCTTCTAAGTGCCCCTGGATTAGCTAGGATTAAAATGTTTTCCGTCTTTCAGGGACCAAGATACATCCCAGAATATTCTGCTCATCTCAGTTTCCCACACTTTTCTTTAAAAAAAAGAAGTCAACCAAACCAGGAAGGTGAGATTGCCACGTCACTTTCTGTTTTCCTGCAACGCTCAAACACGCATGACCCTCCATCTGTCCGACCCTTCCATCTGTCCTCCCTCCCTCCTTTGACTCACAGGTGCTGCCGGTGAGACGGCAGCAGGAGGTGAAGGGACAAGGAAAACGTGTGGGGTCTGCCTGCCAGGAGACCTATGTGGACTCTACGCTCAGCTCCCACCCAAGGTCTTCCGGCTGGCAAGCCCCCTAGGCGCCCTGTGAATACAATTTTTACAAGTTCCAAGCGCTAGGAGGGCCTGGCCCTTCTGTCTTGTCTCCTGCCTGACAATGGACCAATCAAACAGGACGGACCACCAGATGGCGCCCTGCGGGCCGGGCACCTTCGTGGCCGCCCATTCTGCATCAGGAAGGACGTGGACAGGCTGGCGCCTGGTGCAGAGGACCGAGTGGGCAGTCCAGGGAGCCTCTCACCCACCTTCCTCGTCGGCATCCTGCCCCTCCTCCTGTCCGTCGCGGATGACGAGCTGGTCCCGTTCGGGGCCCTCCGCCTCTTGATTCTCCTGGCTGGCCAGCAGGGCGGCTGGGGCCTGTGCGATTTGGCCCAGCTCTCCGGGCTCTCCATTGCCTTTTCCGCCCACTTGTCCGTCTCCTTCCACCGCCTGCTCTGGGCCTGGCTCCTTCGGCAGCACCAGGCTGTCCCTCTGAGGCTCCTCCTCACTGACGACCTGAATCTCCTTGGTTTCCTCTGGGCACAGGACACAGTTTGCTGTGACCTCACCATAATAAATCCTCAGACCACTCAATTCCCAGAGCCTTCCCAAGGACTGTGGGTGGACGGGGCAGCAGATCATGTATGCCGTGGCCTAGCAGATGGCATCACTGATTCAATGGACATGAGTTTGAGCAAACTCCAGGAGACGGTGAAAGACAGAGAAGCCTGTTGTGCAGCAGTCTGTGGGGCTGCAAAGAACTGGACAAAACCGAGCAACTTAACAGCAGCAGACTCCAAGCCTCTCTGTGCCTGGAGTGTATCCTCAGAACCACGAGAAAGAGGAAATGGTTCAGAAAACAAATCCAGACCAAGTCATCTGGATTGAGCACATCCTGCAAGTGGAGGAGTCTGTAATGCCAGGCTTATCTGATCGCCCTACTTGAGGCCAGAACCTGGGAGCCAGTGACAGCCACCCAGGACTCAGCCACGTCCCCTTAACTAAACAGTCCCACCACTGTCCTGAATAAAGGCACACCTAGACCTGCCTTTACCAAGCTGCCAAAGAATGAGGAAGTTTACAAGGGTGGGACATCAGGAAGGCAGATAAAAGCCCTGTGGCCCCGAGTCCAGGTGCCCAGAGAGAGACTCACTGCCACCTGCATCCCCAATACTGGGCTGCCCAGAAGCAGCGCACTCTGCTGACTGTATGGACTGGGGGCAGGAGCTGCCGCTGTGCTTTTTGTTGGCACAGGGCCCTGAGACAGCACGTCACTGGCAAGCTTCACTTACCCTTCTCACCTCGTCTCTTCAGATCGAAAGCCACCTCAGAGCTGGGGGCTGGTGTCTGGGGCTCCCTGTGGCTGGGCACGTTTCCTCTTGCTTCTGGCACCTCTGCCTGAGGCGGGCCTGCCTCCTGCGGCCTGGGCTGGGGCTCACTGGGGGCTCGGGGCTGAAACAGGAACACAGGTGGTCACGGCAGCAGCTCTGTGACATGAACCTTCAATAACCCTGAGCAGTGCAATGGACCACTGCATCCTTCTGATGAACAAGAACATGGAAACCCTGACGAATGCCATACCCTACCCTGGTCGTGCCCTACCACCTGGCATAAAGCAGAGATCTGAGCTTGGGCCTGTATCTCCCAGAAAAAAAACTTTTAATAACGGATTAACAAGTAGGCAGAAGATCAACAAGTAAAGAGAAGGCTTGAACAACATGACAAACCACCCAAGCAAACATCTATAGAGACCCAACCCAACAAGAGCAAAATACACACAAATGTGTAGTCTTCTCAAGTGCACATGGACTGCTCTCCAGGACAGACAAGATGCTAGGCCACAAAACGAACCTCAGCAAATGTTAAATGACTGAAATCATACAATGTATGGTTACCAATCACAATGGAATGAAATTATAAATCAGTAACAGAATGGAGTTTTTTTGAGAAATTCACAAATATCTGGAAATTAGACAATACACTCCTAAATAACCAGTGGGTCAAAGAAATCACAAGGAAAACTAGAAAATACCTTGAGAAAAATTAAAATGAAAACACAACACACCAAACTTCTGGAAGGCAACTAAAGCAGTGCTTAAAGGGAAATTTTCAGGCCTATCTCAAGAAAAAAGACAGATCTCAAATCAATAACCTAATCTCTCACCTTGAGACACTTGAAAAAAGAAGAAAAACTTAAACCTAAAGCAAGGAAAAATATAGTAAAGATTAGAACAGGAATTAATGACATATGTAAAAGAAAAACAATAAAGAAAATCAACAAAACCAAAAGTTCCTTGAAAGATGAACAAATTTGACAAGCTTTAGCCAGATTAATTAAAAACAATTTCAAATTACTAACATCAAAAACAGGATAACACTACCAACCCTTACACAAAAAAATTCTATTATAAGGAAATACTAAGAACTGTTTGCCAACAAGTTTGATAACTTAACTAAAACAGACAAGTTCCTAGGAAGACACATACTACCAAAACTCATTCAAGAAGTAGAAAATCTGAGCAGATTGTAACAAGAGACTGAAGTACTAATTTACAAATTTCCCCCTAAAAAAGCCCAGTTACAAATGGCTCCCGTGGTAAATTCTACCAAACATTTAATACTAAATCTTCCCAAACTCTTCCAAAAACAGAATAGAAAGGAATACTCCCCAACTCATTCTATGAGCCCAATAATGACCCTGATACCTAAGCCTGACAAAGACATTATAAGAAAATAAAACTGTAGAACTAATATGAATATAGACCCCCAAATCATCAACAAAATACTAGTAAATTAAATCAAGTGACATATAAAAGGATTACACACTATGGCCAGTAGGATTTTCCCCATCAATGCCAACGTTTAACATCAAAAGTCAATTAATATAATACTATGTCAATAGTGTAAAGCATAAAAAACACACGATCCTAGTAGATGCAGAAAAAACATTGGCAAAATTCAACAGCTTTTCTTCATAAAAACACTCAACAAATTATGAATAGAGGGTAACTTCCTCAACTTGATAATGTGCATCTATGAAAAACACATAAGCATACCATGAATATATCACAGGTTCAGTTTCAAACCACTGCAAAGAGGCGAATATCACAATAAAGTGAGTCACACCAATTTCCTGGTTTCCCAGTACATATAAAAGCTATTTACACTATTCTGTAGTCTATCAGGTATGCAATAGCACTATGTTAAAAAAAAATGTACTACCTTAATTAAAAAATACTTTATTTTCTAAAAATACCAAAAAATTACAAGAGTAACATCAAGACCCCTGATCATAGATTCCTAAAACAAATATAATAATAATGAAAAAGTCTGAAATATTTTAAGAATTACCAAAATGTAACAAAGAGACAAGTGAGCAAATGCTGTTGGAAAAAAAGGAAGCCAATATATCTGCTCAACACACATTTGCCACAATCCTTCAATGTATAAAAAACACAAACTCTGTGAAGCACAATAAAATGAGGTATGCTTGCACAGTTAACATCAGACTTAAAGAGTGAAAGTTAAAAGCTTTCCCCCTATGATCATAAAGAAGACAAGGATGTCTATCCTCACCACTTACATTTAACATTATACTGGAGGTTCTAGCTAGGGCTATTAGGCGATAAAAGAAATAAAAGGCATCCAGATTGGAAAAGAAGATGTGAAACTACCTCTGTTTTTAGCTGACATAATCTTGTATTCAGAAAATCCTAAGGAATCACAAAAAATACTACTTGAACTAATAAACAAGTTCAGAAAGGCTGATACAAAATCAATATAAAAAATGAATTATCTACACACTAGCAATAAACAGTTTGAAAATGAAATTAAGGAAACAATTCCATTTATAATAACATCAAACATACTTAGAAATAAATTGAACAAAAGAAGTGCAAGAATTCTGAAAACTACAAAACATAATTGAAAAGATTTTTAAAGGACTTAAAGAAATGGAAAGAAATCCCACATTCACACATCAGAAGACAGGATGTTAAGAGGGCAACACTTCCCAAAGGGATTTACAGACTATAATCTCTGTCCAAATCCCAGCTGGCTTGAAGACACTGAGAAGTAGATCCAAAAATTTGTATAAAAAGTCATCCAGTGCAGAATAGCCAAAATAATTTTGAAAAAGGACAAAGTTGGAGCAGTCAAAGCTGCTGATTTCAAAGTTTATTACAAAAATACAGTAATCCAGACTATGTAGTGCGGACATAAGGATAGAAAAAGACATCAAAGGAACAGATGGATAGTCCAAAAACAGACCCTCATCTTTACAGTAAACTGATTTTTCTGACAAGGATGTCAAGGCAACTTAGTGGGGAAAAGAATTGTTTTTTTTTCGTTTCCCAACATATGGTGTTGAGACAACTGGATATCCACACGCAAGATAATAAAGTTGAACCACTACCTCACATCATATGCAAATTAACTCAATATGAATCACAGGACTAAACAGAAGAACTAAATGCTAAGAACTTTACAAGACTCAGGAGAAAAAACAGGAGTAAATATTCATGATGCTAGGTTAGGCAAAGCAGTTTTAGATATGACACCCATAGAACAAACAACAAAACAGATAAACTAGACTTAAAATTAGTAACTTCTCTACTTCAATGAACACCATCAAGAAAGTGAAATGATAACTCACAGAATGGGAAAAAATATTTGCAAATCATACAACCAATATCTCTATATGAATATATAAAGAACTCTAACAACTCAATAATAAAAATAACTCAATTTCAAAATGGACAAAGGATACAATTTACAATTTCTCCAAAGAGAAATTACAAACAGCCAACAAAGTTACATGAAAAGATAATATCATCAACTATTGGGAAATGCAAATCAAAGCCACAATGAGATAGCACTGCATACCTACTAGAATGGTTATAATGAAAAAGACAAATGTAATAACAAGAGTTGGCAAGGATGTGGAAAAACTGGTACCCTCATAAACTGCTGGCAGGAATGTAGAAGGGTATGATCACTTTCCGAAACAGTATGGCAGTTTCTCAATATATTGCGGAGAGTTACCACACGATCCAACAATTCCACTCCTAGGTATATATCTAGAAGTAATGAAAGCCTATGTTCACACAAAAATGTGTGCATAAGCATTCACAGCAGCATTATTCATAGTAGCCAAAAGGTGGAAATAACCCAAATGCCCATCAACTGACAAATAAACAAACAAAATACAGTACAGTCATACAATGGAATATTATTCAACCATATAAAGGAAGTACTCATACATGATACAACACGGATGAATCCTGAAAGCTGTATGAAAATAACTGATTAATGTTATTGTCAGTCATAAATAAATGTCCAGATAAGGCAAATCTATAAGACAGAAAATAGATCACAGCTCATCTAAGGCTCCAGGAACTGGAAGTAAAAGGGGAATGAGCTAATGGGTATGGGATTTCTTTTGGGTGTTATGAAAAGGTTCTAAAATTGACTGTGATGATGACTGTATCACAATATGATGATGAGGACTTCCCATTTGTGAATATACTAAAACCACTGAACTGTAAATATTACATAGATGACTCTATGGTAGGCGAAATATATCCCAATAAAATGGCTGTGATGAAAACAAAGACCCCCAGAAGGCTGTGAGCAGCACTTCCATAAGCTGTGCTTACATAGGCGGCAGTCTGACAGCGTGGCTCGGATCAGCTCCATCACTGACCAGGTGCGCTGACCTTGGGACAGAATTTGACCACCTCCATGGGCCTTGGCGCCCTCAAAACAGGAAAACAAAAACAACCCTCTCCTAGGGTGGCTGTGAGCTTTAAATAAAGCCTGGAGCACAGAGGTTGGGTTCAGAGGCCAGCATACTCAGTTAGAGACCCCACACCCTGGGACCAGGCTGTTGACTCTCAGGGAACTTGAGCAAATGGGACAGCAGATGCCTGAAGAGAGGGCAGGAAGACCTCTGGGAGATTCCTGGCAGAAAAAGCCCAGGATTACCTGCTGGCTTTGGTCCTTCTGTTCACTGAGATCTCGGGAAGGCAGGGCCTCATTCCCCTTCCTGGTGACTTCTTGTATTCGCTCCTCACACTGCTCCTTCACCTCTTTCATCTGACTGATGCACTGGTTCCTGTGAAGGTGGGAGAAAGCAAAGAAAAGGACAGCTGTTCAGAGACACTATTTAAGCTTGGCCCTGCTGTGACGGTGAAATCCAATTCCCAGACAGACACAGCTCATCTCCTTCTTGCTTCCTCCACTGAGTCAGGGCAACAGTATGTTATTAAATGACATGAAAACTGGAGTCAACTGAAACTTCCAAAAAATACGTCATATTTTTCTAAAATAAATGACTTATCTGGTTTAAAAAAATTTTTAATATAATCTGTGGCATAATAAAAATATATATATATATATGTGGTCTTTGTCCCCAACTATCGTCACAGAGCTCCTACAACCCTTGGCGTTTCCTGAGTAACGGTGTCTTCTGCTACGCATCATGAGCCCCTGCACACCATACCTGAGTTTATGCTAAGGAGCCAACTTACTGGGAGGAACCTACATGGCTTCAGGATGGGGGCTGGTGGCCACGGCAGCCAACTGGAGAATGAGAGGGTTGGAACTCACAGCCCCATTTTCTGGGAAGGAGGGAGAGACTGGAGATTGAGTTCAATCATATGGCCATTCAACCAGTCACACCTGTGTAATAAAACCTCAGATAAGCACCCTAGATCATGAGGCTTGGCGAGCTTCCCATTCGGTGAACATCTCTGTGAACCAGTAAGGAGGCAACCCAACTCTAACAGAAGCTCCTGCCTAACCCCTACCTCCACCCCAGGCCTTGCCTCATGAGTCCCTACCATTCCACTCTTGCTAAGTTGTATCCTTTATAATAAAACTGCAATTGTAAGCACAGAACTTTCCTGAGTTCTAGAGAATTATTGATCCTGAGGGGGTTGTGGGGAGCCCTGAATCTGTAGCTAGCCCGGTAAAAAGTACATGTGGCCTGGGGCCACGAGAACTTACGGCTAGCATCCAAAGGAGGGGCAGTCTTGCGGGACTGAACCCCATAACGTGGGGTTTGTGCTAACTCTTAGTGGTGTCAAAACTGAACTGGACTTCCATTTGGGGAACACAGAATAGATGTATTTTTCACTATTCCTTCACTAAGCACAATTAGAACTCTGGAAATTATGTTTTCAACAAACAGAAGACGACTCTGAAAGATGGAGTGATGAAGGCAGACTGGTTAGGGATCTCAGGATCTAGAACACAGTGGTGTCCCTGGAGAGTACACGGAAAGTCTGCGTTTTCACCCCACTCTGACACTAGCGAGGTCCCCCTCCCTCTCCCAGGCAGTGATGTCACTGAAGTGATGTCAGTGAAGAGCCAGGCTTTCACCACCAACTGCTTAGAGGTGTCAAAGATCATCCATCTTATCAAGAACCAGGAAGACCTTAAATTGAATGGAGAGAGACAACCAACAGATACCAAACCAACATGACAGAGGAGTTGAAATGATCTGACAGATTTTAAAGCAGTCACTTCATTAAAAATGTTTCAGTGAGTAATTAAAACATGCTTAGAACAAATGAAAAATGTAATCGTTTCATCAAGGAAATACAAAGTCTCAGCAAAGAAAAGAAGACATAAAGAAGAACCAAATGGAAACTTAATGCCATAACTAAAATGTTAAAACTCAGAGTAGGTAAAGAACCAATGAACTGGAAGATACAATAGACATTACCCAATCTAAACAGAGAGGAAACAGAATGAGGGGAGAAAAAGGACAAAGCTTCATGGACCTACCTGACAATTACAAAGGACCTAACATTCACCTCATCAGAATCTGTGTAAAAGGTAATCTCGGCAGGTCCACATAACTAGTCACTTTCACACTCATCCTCAAGATACTACTCTTAGCTTGCTACTCTCCATGGCCATGTGATACTATCTGCCCTGCCCAGGTCACCCTGACCTCGCCAGGCTCTCTCTCTCCGAATATCTCCTCATCTTCCTTCCCAGCTCCTTACTGCTTAGGACTCAATTCCAAATAGCCTCTCCTAAGAAGTCTTCTTTGGAGGGGTAACAGATAAGCATTGATGAAAATGATCTAGGTTAAAAAACAATACTTAAAGAGACAGGCACCTTCAGAAAGTACGTAAGTTAGCTCCAGGTTTGGCTAGGTGAAACAAAAAGGCCAAAAGATAGCAGTTTATATTTTCCTCACACAAAAGTAGATCAGGGTTAGTATGGCAGCTTGGAGTCATCAAAAATTCAGGTTTCTCTTTTGGTTTTAAAATCCTAGCATTGATTTCTATCCCCCACGATTACCTCATGACCCAGGATGGCTACAAGGACTCCAGCCATCTTGTGTGAAGCCCAGGCAACAGGAAGGACGGAGGAGAAGAGGTAAAGAAAAGGGATGTGCACCGAGCTATCCTCATATTCAGAAGTCTTCCTGTAAGTCCCACCCCACAATTTCCTTTCCCCACTGGCCAGAACTTAATCACCTGGCCATACCTAACTGCAAGGAGAGACTAGAAATGTAGTATTTTTCTGGTAAAATGATAAATGGATGGATAAGCACTGACCAGTCTGTGCCACTGAGAGCTTCACAATGTTTTGAGTTACAAAACATTGATAAAATAACTGAAGAGTATCCCAGGTTAAGAACACAACCAATTACATACTGTTATGTTAATTTACATGGATTAGAGTTGAAGATAGCAATACAAATTTGTTTAATTTAAATACAGATAGACACATACACAAATATTTATCAATATATAACACAAGTTAGTATACACACATATATATCTCTTTGCTCCATCATCCGAGAGGACCTAATAGCAATGATATCCTAGTACCCAGATCTTGGTTTCTAAAATACCATTCTCCAATAAAGAGAACAAAGACTCCTTGGAGAAATGGCTGACCGGATGATTCTAGGACTGGGGCAAGAAATATATGAAAATAATTCTGAAGCATCTTTTTGTGCCAGATTACAAAAAAGTAATTTAAAAGGGGGCTGGGACTGTTTATAATAGCCAGGACATGGAAGCAACCAGATGCCCATCAGCAGACGAATGGATAAGGAAGCTGTGGTACATATACACTATGGAATATTACTCAGCCATTAAAAAGAATTCATTTGAATCAGTTCTAATGGATGAAACTGGAGCCCACTATACAGAGTGAAGTAAGCCAGAAAGATAAAGACCAATACAGTATACTAACACATATATATGGAATTTAAAAAGATGGCAACGATAACTCTATATGCAAAAAAGAGGCACAGATGTACAGAACAGACATTTAGACTCTGTGGGAGAAGGCAAGGGTGGGATGTTCAGAGAGAACAGCACTGAAACAAGTATACTATCAAGGGTGAAACAGATCACCAGCCCAGGTTGGACGCATGAGACAAGTGCTCAGGGCTGGTGCACTGGGATGACCCAGAGGGATGGGATGGGGAGGGAGGCGGGAGGGGGGATCGGGATGGGGAACACATGTAAATCCATGGCTGATTCATGCCAATGTATGGCAAAAACCACTACAATATTGTAAAGTAATTAGCCTCCAACTAATAAAAATAAATGGGGGGAAAAAAAAGAAAGTAAAAAAAAAGGGGGGGGGTGTGGCTGGGAAGACAAACCCACAATATCACAAATATGTCAACTGGATAAAGGAACTAACTGAAAAAGTTCCCAATGGCCAAAGCTGAAAAATTTAAGAAAAATAAATAAATTAGTATTGGATTATAACATAAGTATAAAATAAACATCCACTAATCCATACTGATATCAATCATTAGACAAACAAAAAGAGTCACATCTCCTGTGCAGGAAAATTCCAGACAACTTCATGCGGACACTCCACCCTTAGGGAAGTGGAGCATAATTTCCCAATCTTTAAGCATGGTGAATTTCTTCCAAAGATGAAAGGAGAAAAAACAGAGTAACTTTACAATGAAGAAAAACCTGATAACATGACCTCAATCAGACGCTCAACAGTGATAAGTCACAATAATGCATGGACCCTTGATGTGAAGCCATGAGAATGGCATTTCACCTCTGTGGCCTTCCCCTCAAAAAGGGGCTGCCCTTGTCTCACCACAAGAAAAAACATGAGATACATCCCAATCGAAGGACTTTCTACAAAACACCTGGATAGCACTCCTCAAAACTATCAAGCTCATAAAAAAATAAGTAAAGCCTGATAAAACATGATAAATACAACATAATTACCACACTCTCTGCCTGGCATATAAGAAAAAACCTATAAATGAGCCATACCATGATTTGTGTGCCTTTTTATTAGTGAATCTCAGTTCTCCTGCTGACATGTTAAACTTCTTTTGTATTATGTAATCCAGGAAGTAATTATATAAGCTTAGATTAAAACAACTATGCAACTTGTTAAGTTGTATAAGACTTGTGGACTTTGCTAATTTAACAATGCCACTTGTAAAGTTAGGTTACACCTAATTAAACAAATAAATTCTTGAAAGTTAAAAAGTAAAGCCTGAGAAACTATCACAGCCAAGAGAAGCCTAGGGAAACATAACAGATCAATGTAATGTATACCTGGAACAGAAAAAGGACAAAACTAGGGAAAAACTGAAGAAACACTGAGCAGAGATGAACTTCAATATGAAAATAAGGCGGATATATTGGGTAATCAATCATGACAGGTGCTTCACACGAACGTGAAATGTGAAGAACAGGAATCTGGTGTGGGTTGTACAGGAGCTTCCCGTACTGTCTCTACAATAAGGCTGTAAATCTAAAGCTGTTCAAAAAGTTTTATTTTAAAAAATTAAAAATTGAATTGGAGAACATCCGACTGGTGTCAGAAATTTATTATTGGGACACATAATCTAATTCAGCCTGAACTCCCAATTAGACATTTCAAGACATCACTTCAGCTTCCTGCGTGGAATTTATTTTATGAATATTTCAAGTGTCAGAGCTATAAAGTAACTGAATTACCCACTTGTACAAATAAGAAAGACAGAAATAAACAATGTAGGTGAGAGTGTGGAGAAAAGGGAACCCTCGTACCCTACTGGAGAAGGAAATGGCAACCCACTCCTGCATTCTTGCCTGGAGAATCCCATGGACAAGAAGCCTGGTGGGCCACAGTCCATGGGGTCACAGAGATATGACTGAGTGACTAACACTCATACCCTACTGGTGAGAATATAAATTGGTGCAACCACTACAGAAAACAGTATGATGGTTTCTCAAAAAACTAAAAAGAGAACTACCATATGACCAATTTTACAGAAAAAAACAAAACCATTAATTCAAAAAGATATGCAACCCAATGTTCAAGTCAGCATTATTTACAATTGCCAAGATACAGAAGCAACCTCAGTGTCCATAAATAGATGAATAGATAAAAAGTGTGATACATATATGTGTGTGTGCACACACACAGGAATACTACTCAGTAATAAAAAAAATGAAATTTTATCATCTTCAGCATATGGATGGACTTGGAGGGCATTATGCTAACTGAAATAAGTCAGAGAAAGACAAATACCGTATGATACCACTTCTATGTTGAATCTAAAAAATACAACAAGCTACTGAATATAATATAAAAAGAAGCAGATTCACAGATATAAACTAGTTACCAGTGGGGAGAGGGAGAGGCAGAGGGGAAATATAAGAGAAATATAGTGGGGAGAGAGAGGTACAAACTATTGGGTATAAATAGGTATATATTGTACAACACAGGGAATCTAGCCACTATTCTGTAATAACTATAAATGGAAACAGTATTGGATTATAATCCAATCCTACAATTATAAAAATTGTATAACTTTTTTAAATTTAAAATTATTCCCAATATAAGAATACAGAAAATACCAAAGAGAGAGATAAGAATGTGAGGATTCCAGGAGTAGTTTTGTTATACATTTGTTTGGAGTTTCAGACAGAGAAGCAAGGGGGAATGGGGTCAGAAAGCACTGTTAAAGACAGAATGGCTGGAAATTATTCAGAATTTATAAAAAAGAAAAAAAGATCTCAACAGACTTGAAAAAATAAGTATTTCCCCCAAAAAAGAAACAGCAATTAAATAAATACATATACACATACATACATACAAATAAGGAAGCTAGGAGGTGATCGGACCGACCCTGACCAGGGTCACAGAGACAGAAAGTGGTAAGGCTGAACCCAGAAACCAGACTTGGGGCTCCCTGACTACGCAGGGCTCTATCCCCTGGCTGCCTCTTTGGAACTGCAGGTATTTCAGAGCCAAGTGTAACTGCACTCAACCTCTAACTCTTGTAACAACCCTTTAGTTCAAAGGACTTACTGGGTCTGAGTACCACACACAGAAGGGCATCAGAACTGCAGGAAAAAAGGGAAGACAAAGCATCCAACCTTGGACAGCAACACAGAGATCAAGGAAAGACCTGGCGAAACATTCATGGAAATAAAATTCACATGAACATGCAAGCCACAGGAGGTGGACAAGTGCACAGTAGCCTAAACGGAACAAACAAAAAGATGTCTGTGTAAGGAAAGAACAAAATATGTGCAATTCATTGGGATCAAACAACTTCCCAGAAGCTCAGGACTGGCAAGGAGCAGGTGCACACCGTTTCCAAACCTGTAAATCTACAAAAGGGAAGTACTGTTCTCACCTGCTCTCAGCCCTTCCGAAATCAAGTACAAAGAGTCTTGCACAAGATCTTGGCATGCAGTCCCATCACTTCATGGCAAACAGAAGGGGAAACACAGAAGCAGTGACACATTTTATTTTCTTGGGCTCCAAAATCACAGGATGGCGACTGCAGCCATGAAATAAAAAGGTGCTTGCTCCTCGGAAGGAAAGCTATGACAAACCTAGACAATGTATCAAAAAGATAAACATCACTTTGCCGACAAAGGTCTGTATAGTCAAAGCTATGGCTTTTCCAGTGATCATGCACGGATGTAAGAGTCAGACCAGTGAAGAAGGCTGAGCACTGAAGAGCTGTTGCTTTCAAACTGTGGTGCTGGAGAAGACTCTAGAGAGCTCCCTGGGCTGCACGGAGAGCAAACCAGTCAATCCTAGAGGAAATCAACCCTGAATATTCACTGGAAGTTCTGTTACTGAAGCTGATGAAGCTCTAATACCTTGGCCACCTAATGTGAAGAGCTGACTCATTAGAAAAGACCTGATGCTGGGAAAGATTAAGGCAAAAGAAGAAGGGAGTGGCAGACGATGAGATGGTTGGATGGCATCACTAACTCAATGGACATGAATTGGAGCAAACTCTGGGAGAGAGCGGAGGACAGAGGAGCCTAGAATGCTACAGTCCATGAGGTCACAAAGAGTCAGACACAACTTAGCGAAGTGAACAACAGCAACACATCAAAGAAAAAAGAGGGCTGGGGTCACGGACAGCTGGCTGTCTCTGAATCCCATATTTCCTGTGTCTGAGGTATACTGTTTCCAGGAAGGAAAAGGGAGAGAAAAGTAAACAGACTATAACTTTATTCTCCACCCTCTAAATTGGTTTTTACTATCTTACTAAGGGGCTTAGCCAAACTTTTTAAATGTTTATTGTTTTGACCACAAAAGTACTCTGATATATATAAGTATAGAGTTTTGGATGCTACTAAAGTCATTAGCTTAAAACAGACTGTCCTAACTATATGCTGGAGATCTAATGTATGGCACGCAGACTACAGTGAATAATAATGCATTTTATACTTGTACTTAGCTAGATCTTAAGTGTTCTCACCATACACATAAAGGTAAAGACAGGGGGTTATGGATAACTGCGGGCATCATTTCACGGTGAATAGGTACATCAAAATATCACGCTTTTACGTCTTAAATACATGCAATGATTATTTGTCAACCATAACTTAGTAAGTTAAAAAAAAAACAAACCTCCATTCTCACTGTAAAAATTTGGAAAGACACTTAAAAGCCTCAAGAAAACAAAATGTCCACAATACCAATCAATGCCCAGTGATAAATTACATTAATATTATACCAAACTCCTTAAAGTCTATGATTTTGACTTAAGTCACATCTGAGCATTTTTGGAACACATTTTTAAAGGCTTTCGATTACTGATTTACTAGAACACCTGCACTTTATAGAGGTCTCAGTTATGTATTTTAAGGTACATGGAGTTAGTCATTTCCTGCTAAGGAGGACTGCCCTCTTGCACGATGGCTAACAGTCCCTGGGCAGTGCACACTTGATGCGGACAAACTTACAGGTCGTAGGAGAACTTCCTCTCCAGGTTGGTCTGGTTCTTCTGAAACTGGAGGACATCCTGTTGCAGCCTGCCGTAATTCTTCTGCAGGGCCTTTAACTGGTCTAAACCAAGAAGAGCACACAAAATGACTGGGGTCGCCGACATGGCCATCCTGAGCACAGCAGACACACCAACCCCACCACGGGAAACACAAGGGGCCGGGAGGGCAAAACAAGGTGGGGAAAGAGGAAGCGATGAGGGACCCACCCCAGGAATGTCCCCACCCTGATCCGGGAAGCAGCCCAGAGGGTGTGTGACCCTATAGGAACCAGCACCCTGATTCCTTCCCACACACTTCTCCTAGATGTCCTTTTGACCTCCAGCCCTTACAACGCATCAGGAGGTCCTACCACCTGTTTCCCTCCTAGACATCATAAACCCTGAACTGCTCACCACGCTGCTCTCAGCAGCTCCACAGCCTTCAGTCTGAAAAATCAACTCCGACACCTGGTCAGACCAGCAGCCTCTCCTACATCATCCCTCCACCCCCATCCTCAGCCACCAGGCTACCTGCCAGCACTCTTCTCCTGTCATTTGCTCACAGCCCAGTCATTCTCTGAGGACCCCTGTGCACTCAGCCACCCGGCCCTACTGCTTGGGAAACAACAGCTTTGAGGAGATCCATCAGCCTCATGGCTGCAGCCCTGGCTCGTAAAAGCTCTGCAGAAAAAGCCGCAGCTCACTGACCAGCAACCCAGTTGAGGGCAGAAGGAAAAAGTGCCCCAGAGGTGACCGCAGAAGGGGCTGCGGGCAGCGACAAGAGCCTGGGACGCAGCGCTGGACAGACACCTGGCTCCCCAGGGCTGGCCTCACAGTTCAGGACCTGCAAGGTTCCTGGGGCAGCGGGGAGAGGGGAGACGGGTGTGTTGGGGGAGAGGTTTAAAATTTTTCAAAAGTGAGAGACACCCTGTACTGCTGATGAACACTGCAACACGGATCCATCTCGAAAGCATATGACATGCTTGAAAACACAAAACTACGGCAGTAGGGAATGTTTCACTGGGTGCCTGAGGCCAAAGTGAGGGCAGTGGGGGGGGGGAATTCCTGGAGTGGGACATGAGCTATGTCTTGACTTTATGTCAAAATACACTGAAAGGTACACTACAAAGGGTGAACTTTATTGTGTATAAATTATACTTTGATAAACCTAAAAAAAAATAAATTTTGTATCAAACCAAGCCCAGGACAATGGAATACTACTCAGCAATAAAAAGGAATGGACTATGTACTACAGTCCCAACAGCATGGATGAGTTTCAAGATAACTATGCCGAGTGAAAGAAGGTTCACAAAAAAGGGTATATGCCATCTGATTCCATATATACAAAATCATAAAAATTACAGACTAATCTAGAGGGACAGAGAGCAGATCAGACGGGGCCCGGGAGGACTATCAAGGGTCCCAAAGAAGCTTCCTGGGGTGACAGATATGTTCGCCGTGTTGATACCGTGGTGGTTTCCTGAAGAGCCACTTACGTCAAAACTAGTGGGACTGCACTTTAAATATGTGCAGGGGACTTCCCTGGTGGTCCAGTGGTTAAGAATCCACCTTCCAATGCAGGGGACGCAGGTTCAATCTCAAGTCAAGGAACTACGATACCACATGCCATGGGGCAACTAAGTCCATGTGCCACAGCTAGAGAAACCTTGCATGCTACAACAAAGACCCAGTGCAGCCAAAATAATTAAATATGTGTAGTTTATTATATGTAAATCACGTATGATTAAAGCTATTTAAAATACTAAGTATAAGAAAGGCTGCAGGCTGCATGCCATACTTGAGGACAGACCAGCAGGTCGTCAACTCTGAGAAACCCTGGCAGTCAACTAACCCATTTAACTTAGCGTAACTCTGCGTTTCCCCTATAAATATTCTTAGAAGCTGGTTTGGAATTAGAATTCTAGACCAGCACTGCTGAAAAGGACTATAATATAAGCCACACAGATCATTTAAAATTCCCGAGAACCACATTTTTAAAAAGTAAATAAAACCAGGTGAAATTAATTTTAATAATATACTTCATTTAATCCAATAGATCCAAAATATGATCATGGCAACACAGAATTAATGTAAAAAAATATGAATGAGACATTTTATACTCTTTTTTTTAATACTAAGTCTTTGAAACCTGGTGTGTATTTTACAGTTATAGCACATCTCAATTCAGATGTTAAAGAAGAATTGGGACTTCTTGATCTGAATTTAGATTTCATAATATATACAGTTAAAATAATACTGGTACAAGCAAGTTGTCCCAAAGATACTTAAGCTTCCCAGTAACTGAGTCAAGTATCAGTTTTAATTTTAAATTGCAGAAAAGTACACAAAAATTCAAACTCCAGTTCTTCTGTCCCATGAGCCACATCACAAATGTTTACTGCCCACACGAGTCCCACATAGTGGGTCTCAGGGCTACTATTCTGGAGCCCAGTTCTAGATTGACCTTCCCACCTTAGAAGTGGAAACTGGGGCTCAAGACGCTGAGTTTCCTAACTAGGGGCACAGGTGAGACCAGGGTCAGGTCAAGGATCACAGGACCCCGTGCTCCCTTCACCAGGTTGTAAGGCTGCAGGGGACCCTCTGGTCACACCACAAGAGGGGCTCACCCCATCCCCACCTTCCCCACTACTGCAGAAGGGCCCAAAGAAAAACAAACTCTGGCTGCCAAACTGAGTGAGAGCAGCAAAAATACGGAATTAAACTGGGCTGCATCACTTTTATATAAATTTCATGAAGAAAATCTGAATTCAGGAAAACCCAATGAAAAGAGAGCATACGTATATCACATATACATAATATGTATATATATAAAACGGACGACACATGTATCATATATATATTTCTTAATGTATCACAAAATGAGAACCTGAAATCTCCTCATAACAGCTTGCAATGTATTCAGTAACACCGTAAAAAGGTAAAGAGATACAGTTGGCAAAAAGAATAAAGATTACTCAATTACTCCAACACTACCCATCATTATGGTTTCCCTGGTGGCTCAGTCGGTAAAGAATGTGCCTGCAATGCAGGAGACCTGGGTTTGATCCCTAGGTCAGCAAAATCCCCTGGAGAAGGGAATGGCTACCCATTCCAGGATTCTTGCCTGTAGAATCCCACGGACACAGGAGCCTGGTGGGCTACAGTCCATGGCGTTGCAAAGAGTTGGACAAGATTAAGCAACTAACACTTTCACTTTCTACCCATCATCATATTTCAATAAGAGACCCCAGAATAGGATGGAAGAAAGGTGCATTTTTCCTAACAAACCTGACACCTGGGGTAAAAGTGGGGAGTGGAACTCACCTTGCAAGGTTCTGATGAGCCTCTCGCTGGTGGTGATGTTATTCACTAAAACGGCCTGCAAAGAAGATAAACATATAAATGAAACACTGACAACCTGACAACTTAGAAGAGCCCTGACGAGACGTGACTGTGGGAGAAAGGCTGGGGAGTAGCCCCTGCCCACCCCCTGGGATGAACTTGGATGCCTGGGTAGGAGCACTATCGGTGTCCCAGCACCAGCCTGCAGCCCAGGCAAGGGGGGCGGCTCCTCTGGCTGTCTCCACTCCATGCCCGCAGGAACAGCAACCCCACAGTAACTGCGATCTTTCTCTGGGGGAATCCAGGTACAGCCCGTCTCAACCAGAAATTAAACTGGCTGGGGGCGGGTGTTCGGCAACCGCTCCACCTGCGTTATTAGTCAAAGCTGTGGTTTTTCCAGTAGTCATGTCTGGATATGAGAGTTGGACCGTGAAGGCGGCTGAGTGCCAAGGAATGGATGCGTTTGAACTGTGGTGTTGGAGAAGACTCTTGAAAGTTCCTGGGCTGCAAGGAGATCCAACCAGTCCATCCTAAAGGAAATCAACCCTGAACACTCACTGGAAGGTCTGATGCGTGAAGCTCCAATACTTTGGCCACCTGATGTGAAAAGCCGGCTCACTGGAAAAGACTGATGCTGGGAAAGACTGAAGGCAAAAGGAGAAGAGGGCAGCAGAAGATGAGACAGTTAGATAGCATCACCGACTCAACGGACATGAATTGAACCAACTCCGGGAGACAGTGAAGGACAAGGAGGCCTGGCATGCTACAGTCCATGGGATTGCAAAGAATCAGATACAACTGAGCGACCAACCACCACCACCATCTGTGAAGCCTCCTGATCCTTTCTAACTTCCAACATTCTTCCTTCCATCCAGACTGCAAGCTCAGGGGATGGAGGGGTTCACCCCCAGCTAGCTACATAACGTTGGGAATGCTCACAACAGAGGACAAAGAAGCAACGGAGGCCTCAGACAAACAATGAAAAACACAAAAAATAAGAAACGTGACCGCGGGCCTCAGTGTAACCAGCAGCCTGTACACAGGCGCAGAGTCACCACCCTCAGAGGGCCCCAGGGCGCGCCACACCCTCAGCAGAACACAACCCCACTGTGGGGGATAGGAAACTGAGGCGCCAGTGGGCAGAACACAACCCCACTGTGGGGGATAGGAAACTGAGGCGCCAGTGGCTTCAGAGACTCGATGTCACGTGGCCTTCTCAACAGCAAACAGGCAGAGCCCAAGTCCGAGCCTGGCAGACCTGCCCCAGAGGTGAAGCTCTTCCTCACTACATGCCTGCCAAACCGGGATCTGACCCCAGCAGGACTGCGATCCAGTGACAAATGGGGACCCAAACCCCAGCAGGACAGCGATCCAGTGATCCAGCGACTGTACCCGGTGCTGCCCCCTGAAGGAGAGGTGACATCAAACACCAGTGTGCATCACGCAGGAAAGTGATGTTTTGTACACAGAGCTAGGTACTGGGCCACAAGACGAAAGTTTCTTACTGTGTCATAATCAACAAAGTTTGTCGACCTGCTGGCCATTACCTGGAGACCAGCTTCTGCCCCATTCCTGGGTAAAGGAGGACGCCGCCGCCCTCCCGGCGCCCTTCTGTGCTTCCATCTCCTGTTGGATCTCTCTGTCCAGCCCTCAGTCTTTCTTTGTCCTGGGCTGGGCTTTCTAGAGGAAGGTGTTTATGAATACAGGGATGCACACCTAGAAACAAAATCTGGCCAAATGATTCTGGTGTTTATTTTAGGAGGTCTGGCACAACAGGAAATAAGTCACAGCGATACCATCTGTACAATAATCTATCAGGGAGGGAACATCACAACCAAGCCCATGCCCTTCTATTTGGGCCAGCGGGGAGTCCTATTCACACAGCTCATAGCTCCTGCTACTCCCAGAAAAGGCTTGCACATGTTCTATTAAAATGGCAAGAGATGGCCCCAATACCCCACAGTCCCACTTCGGGATATATACTCAGAAAAACACAAAGCAGGACCCTGAAGAGATATCTGCATCCAAGTTCACAGCAGCGCACTCCTCACAACAGTCAAGAACTGAAGCAACCCAGGTGTCCCTCAGTGGATGAATGGATAAAGGAAATGCAACATATACAAACAATGGAATAGTACACAGCCTTTAAAAAGAAAGAATGTCACATGCTACAACATGTGCGAACCTTGAGGACATGCTAAGCCCGTGACTAAGTACAGACACTATGGAGAAAAGCATGGAAATTTCTTTAAAAACTAGAAATAGAAATACCATACAACCTAGCAATCCCAGTCATGGGCATGTATCTAGAGAAAACTATAATTCAAAAAGATATACGCACTCCATTACACACTGTAGCACTATTTACCTGACCAGGACATGGAAGCAACCTAAATGTTTATCAACAGAGGAATGAATAAAAAAGATGTGATACATATACACAATGTAATATCACTCAGCAATAAAAGAGAACAATGTAAGGCCATTTGCAGCAACCTGGATGGACCTAGAGATTGATATTGAATGAAGTAAATCAGACAGACAAATATCATATGATATGGCTTATATGTAGAATCTAAAAAAGGAGGTGCTGTTTTTCAGATGTTAAGTCATGTCTGACTCCTTGTGACCCAATGGACTGCAGCACACCAGGCTCCCCTTCTCCCAGTCCTTCACTATCTCCCAGAGTTTGCTCAGATTCATGTCCATTGCGTCAGTGATGCTATCTAACCATTGCATTCTCTGCTATCCCTTTTCCATTTGCCCTCAATCTTTCCCAGCACCAAGGTCTTTTCCAGTGAGTTAGCTCTTCCCATCAGGTGGCCAAACGCACTGGGAGGGATAAACTGGGAGACTGGGACTGACGTATACACACTGCTATATATAAAACAGGTAATAAGAACCTGCTCCACAGCCTAGGGAACTCCACTCAATACTCTGTAATGGCTTATGTGGAAACAAATCTTTAAAAACAGAGTGGCTATATGTGTATGTATAACTGATTCACATTACTATATACCTAAAATTAACACAACACCATAAATTTTAAAAAAATTTTAAAGAAAAAACAAAAATGCGGCACATACATACAATGGGATAGTACACTACACACCCCTTAAAAAGAATGTCACATGTCACTATGTAGGTGAACCCTGAGGACATCGTGCTAAGCTAATCAAAAATGGACAAGCACCATATGATTCTATTTATATGCACAGTGTCTAAAGCAGACAAATTCATGAAAACATAAAGCAGAAAGGTGTCTGCCAAGGGCCAGGGGTGAAGTAGGTTGGACAGACTAGTGTTTAAAGGGCATAGAGTCTCAGCGTTGCAAGATGAAAAGTTCCAGATATTTCCTGCACAACAATGTGAATATATTTAACATAGCTGAACTGCACCCTTAAATCTCTACCCTGCATAAGTAACAAAACCACCTTCCCCTTGAACATCAGTGATGAAAGAAGACAGGAAAAGAAAAGATGCACTTAAAAGATTATATGCTGATAATCTCAAAAGCCAACCTCTCCTGGGCAAATCATTTCTATAGCAATTACAGCAATCTGACTTGCCCCTTCTCCACTCACTACCCTTAGTTCCACCCCCCAAAAAAGTCCTTATTAGAGTTTGCAACTGCCTGAGGGTTTAGGAATTGTTGCAATTTGATATATCTGAAGATATTTCTGTCTCCCATGTGACTTTATTCTTCCAAAGAAAATATATTTTAGTTATCTCCCCCAACCTACTTCCTGATGCATGGAAAAACAGTCTCCATTTAAGTAAATGAGAAAAGGATCATAAAACACCACTGAGAGCTTTATGTATGCAGTTTTATATTTACTGAAAATCTTGTTGAATCACTTTCAGGAAAACTATGAAAATGCTTTTAGTTTTTTGAGGGGTTCACATTAAAGGGAAAAAAATCACCAGCATTAAACAAAATTATGTTTAAATTAATTACATATTGTACCCTAAACAGCCCTGATGATTTTCACATTTTGGAAAAGTGTGACTTTAGGGGAGCTGGACTTCCTGGTCTGTGTGACCTGTTTCCTGGGAATTCTCAGCAGCAGACAAGGAGGCAGCAAGTGCCGCCAAAATTAAATTAGACACTAGCTCAGAAGGCCTTGGAATGAACCGCCCATAAATGAATGTATCATAGCTATTCTATTCCAGAACAAGTATAATTGATAAAACTATTTCTCCATTAGATTCCTAAGAAAATAACCTCAACATTTCATAGTAAATTTTCAAAGCAATAAATCTACAACAGCTTACCATGTTCTGAAAACCTGAAACACACACACCAGGGTGGTGACAAGTTAAAGAAACAAACAAAAGGAAAATAACAAGCAAACGAAACTGACAAGGATGTGGAGAAACTGGAAACCTCCCAGCCAGCTGATGAGAATGTAAAACGGTGAAGTCGCTGCAGAAAGCAATTTGGCAGCTCCTCAAAAAGCTGAACAGGGGCTTTCCAGTGGCTCAGCGGTAAGAACCCACCTGCAATGCAGGAGACTTGGCAAGGGATGCGAGTCTGATCTCTGGGTTGGGAAGACCCCCTGGAGAAGGGAATGGCTACCCACTCCAGTATTCTTGCCTGGAGAATCCCATGGACAGAGGAGCCTGGTGGGCTACAGTCCACGGGGTCACAAAGCGTCAGACACGACTGAGCACAGCACACAGCCTGCACAACAATGAAGACCCAGCACAGACAAAAATAAATAAGTAAAAATAGGGGGAAAAGTTAACTAGTTATTATACAACCCAGAAATTCTCCTCCTTGGAGTCTGTCCACGGAATTCTCCAGGCAAGAATACTGGAGTGGGTTGCCATTCCCTTCTCCAGGGGATCTGCCTGACTCAGGGATTGAACCTGGATCTCCTGCATTGCAGGCAGATTCTTCACCACCATCTGAGCTACCAGGGAAGCCCAGGTATATACCCAAGAGAAATGAAAACACATGTCTACACAAAAATTGTCCACAAAAGCTCACAGCAGAATTGTTCTTCACAGCCAAAAAAGTGGCAAGAACCCAAA